AGCCAGGACATAATCCCTAGGCCCTGGGGTATGAATCAAGCTCCTCAGTATGGGGAAGTCTGGAGGGTGGCTGTGGATTGCGGGGGATCGTAGATTTTGAGGAACTCATGAGACACACGGCAGGGCTTCAAGCCAGACTTTTGCTGGAGTCTAGGACCTTTCCTCAGGAGGAGGAAAGGTTGTCTTGGGGTTTAGACACCAAAGTCCCTCAACTAGGGACAAAGGAACCGTCTGTAACACTGTATGTGTGGTTAAATATTAGTATCTCTCAGTAATAGCTGGTTTTCCTCTTTTCAGACAAGGGAAAGTGACTACTTCCCCTTGAGTGGACTCACTGATTAGTTCTCGCAATGTGCTGTGAGTAAAAATGACAAGCTAGGTGCCACGGTGGGGTGGGGCCATCACCAGTGAGCTGAGTGCCCCAAGTACCTGGAATGGAAAACAGAGACCTCTTGGGGGGGAGGGAGGGGAGTGGCTATGTCACTAGAGCTGAGTGACCTGGATTGCCTAGTTGCACCAGAGGACTTTTGCCCTGGAGTATTATCTGAGCCTGTTTGAGGATCCATTTGTTACTGCAGCATAATCTAAGTTAGCCCAACTAACTAATGCAAAATCAACTCTGGATTTGGACAAATTTTTTTTAAAGATTTATTTATTTATGCATTCAAGAACTGGGATACAGGCCAGAGGTGTGGGGGTTGAGAGGATTCACCAGAGACAAAGTAGGAAACAGAACAGGCAGATTGACTGAAATACACTGCTGAGGGGAACAGCGGGTGAGTCAGGAGAGGTCTGCTGCGCCATGTGGGTAGCTCCCTGGTTGGGGATCGAACTCATGTTGCAGTGGCTGCAGAGAGCTCCACAGGTTGTGTCTTAACCCCTTGCACCACCAGGGAAGCCCTTGGGCAAATTTTTAATGATTTAAAAAAAAATAATAATTTAAGAGGTAATGCAAACTTGTGGTTGGTGACTCTTCTGTAGCACTGTGTGGATCGAGAACACAGGACAGATTTGGGAACCTGGCCTCACCCGGCACTGCTTGCTTTATTTGCTTTAGGAATTGCTTTAAATATTGAATGGTCATTTTTCACTCCAGTGTACCTAACCCTGAGGTCAGGGCTTGGTCAAAATCTTAATCATTTTAAGATTTTATATAAGTTTTACAGCTACAGTGCATGAAAAAACAATCAATTAAGCAGATAAAATGACACTGGGTAAAGTTTTTTATTTCAGTTTCAAAAGTAAGTTTCCTTTATAAATATTATATACTTTCTACATACATAAATATGTCTATTTTACTGACACCTCTGTATTCCAGGAGCAGCAGTAAATTGTGCAAATGTCTGGGTCACACAGAAATAATTATTTTGAAATGTTAATTTGAGTTTGCAAAAATATTATAGTATACATATATTCTCCCAAAGTTGTATTTTAAAGGTGACTTTTATAATACTTGTCCAGTATTTTGATTAATTGTAATTAGACTGCCTTGCATTTTGTATGTTGACTATACAAGTATTTAAAGACATTCTTATGTATGTTAACTCTAGCTCAAGTAATTACTACATACCTCATTTTATAGGATTTTTATTAGCAAATGCTTAGCGAACATTTCACTTGGCCTTTGCCTTTTAAATTATGCACTTTAATAGCATGATGTAAATTTTACTAGGACTTTCAGCATTTGTATTTAACCTATTTACGTTTCCCCATTGTTAAATAAAATATACTTTCCCTTAAGATTTAATTAAAACTGGGGGGAAAATGGGGTCATAGTAATGCATGCTTGTAATAAACAACACAAAAAAGATACAAAAAAGGCCAATCACTCACAGTCTCCCCCCACCTGGTGGTGCATCACCTCCCCTCCCCCTACAGAGTTAGGGTTCATACTGTATATAAACTTTGCATCCTACTTTCATTGCTGATGTCATTCTCCTACAATTTTTAGTGATGTCATAGGATTCCCCCACCTGTACTTTCTATCATTTAAACATGCCTGTTGCAGGACATTTACTTCTCACTCACCATTGCTCCACACTCTGTCCTGAATATGCTGGTCCATCATCTGCCGGCAGAACAGAGACCCTGCCTCAAGGACACCCACGCCCTGCACCCTGCACCCTGGAACTGGTGAGGATGTGACCGCGCATAGCAAACAGGGCTCTGCTAGCTAGGAAGCTTGAGACGCTGAGATAATCCAGGTGGACCCAATCTCATCAGGTGAACCTCAAAACAAGAAAAATGCTCCAGTAGTGGGCAGATCAGAAGATGCCCTATCGTCAGCTCTGAAGATGGAGGAAGGGAACCAGGCGCTGGAGCAGGGTGACCTCCAGAAAGTGGAGAATCAAGGAAGTGGATTCTCCCTGGAGCTTGCATGAAGGGCCACAGCCTTGCCAACACCTTGATGTTGGCCCAGGGAGACTGCTCTTGTCCTTCTGACCCACAAAACTGTGAGATAATAAATGTGTGCTGTGTTAAGCCAATAAATTTATGGGAATTTTTTATGGCAGCAACAGAAAACTAACGCCTGATTGTTGTGCATACGTTTACTGTTTTCCTTAGTGGTCCAGTCCTAGGAGAGTTTTCAAGGGGCTTAATCTACATTGCCGGCCAATCTCATTACCAATGAGTGGAAGTGCCTGCCTCGCTTGTCCCCACCCATCCTAGACTTAACTTCCTACACACTCGTCTTTCACGTGCTTTAAGTTGATGATCGTCATGGTATCAAATACCAGTAGCAGCCAGTGGAGGGTTTACCAGGTGCCAGGCACTAAACACACACTCATTTAATCTTCACAAGTCCATGAGTCGTGTTACAACTATTACCGCCATTTTACAGAGGAAGAAACCGAGGCTTGAGGAAATTGAGAATATAAACTTAGACCCGGGAAGCACAGCCCCAAAGGGTATGCTCTTTACCAAGTGCACCATTCAAGCCAAAGCTCCTGGAAGGCAGGACTGGTCTGCATTTCTCCTTGACTAAGGAAGTGATTCTCAGCTTCCGCCCAGTATTAGCATAATCCTGTGTGAAGAGCTCCTGACTTGGACATCTGTGGTAAATAACCTCTAAAGTGAAAGCTCAGTGACCTAGGTGACCTTAAGGGGGCGCCCTCTGCCCACTTTCCCCGGCCTCCCCTCTTTCTTGCCCAGGGGCCCCAAAGCAACAGTTGTCTCTTGCCTGAAGGCCAATGTACTGGCTCTTTCCTGTCTGGTGCTTTCCTGTCATTCAAGTTTTTCCTCAGATGTACTTCCTCGGACTTTCTCTGACCGCCCCAAAGTGCCCGCCATCATCTCCCCACACGTATCACATTGCCATCAACATGCACACGGATGTCCACAGTCCCCTTAACTCTGCTTGTGTCTCCCTTGTCCCTCTCTCTGCAATGTGTCAGGGCAGCATGGCCTGGGGAACAGGGCCAGCCCCAGGAGGCGGCACCCATTTTAAAATGAATAAAACCTCCCTTCACTGATTTCAGACTTAGAGCTAAAGATATGAGGCAAAAGTGAAGATATTTTTCTTACTTTTGTATATAGCAGAATAAAAACTTAGCCCTTTGCACTCTGCTGTCCCCTCTCAGGGGACATCGGAATTCTAGCATATCACTCGGATGTCTCCTCTCCGGGGACATTGCAATTTATTAGTGATTACGGGGAATTGAGGTTATTTCAACGCAACTTTTTGAGACATGCATGTTTCCCTGAAGTTTTATCTTGAAATGGCACAAGAAATTAAATCAAAATATCGTAAAATGGTTCGGAGTGCAAAGGGTTAGATTTCTACCTGGGAATTGAAGAATGAAAGCAGGAAAATTAGATTAACAATCGTACTGAGCAGAAGGTACATCCAATGCTACACTCTCTCCAGTGGGAAAGTTTTGGACACTGAAAATATTTTAGGGCTTTTTTTAATCAACCTAAATTATGTTTTGTGGCAAAACAGACAAAGCACAGAAGTTACCATTTGAACTGTCCTTAAGTGCAGGATTCAGTGGCATAAGGCCCCCTCACTCAGATACAATCATCCGTCTTCTGCTTCATACAGAAACTCTTCATGCTTTAAATACTGACTCCCCACGCCTGGTGAGCCCCATACTTTTGTCCCTCTGAATATGACAACTCAAGGGGTCTCATAAAGTGGAATCACACAGTATGTCTTTCTGTGACTGGCTCATTTCACTTAGCAAGTTTTCCCGGCATCCAAGCAGTTGTGTGCATTAGAACTTCCTTCCTTCCTAAGGCCGAATATTATCCCATGTGTCAATACACACGTGCTTATCACTCGTCTGTCCATGAACACCTGGATGCAGATTCTATTCTAAATGCTGCTGCCATGGACATGGTCATGCAAAAATTATTTGTGTCCCTACTTTTAATTTTTGGGGGGGACTATATACCTAGGACCTAAGTTATTTTTTAACATTCCTCAATATTGGAGGATGGGGGTCACTTTGCTCAAATCAAGATTCTAACTTGGGGCCTCCCCCAGTGGCGCAGCGGTTGAGCGCTGGGTTGCGAAGCTGCCTGCGGCCTCTGCGGCGCCGGTTCGATCCCCGACTGCTCCCCGGCCACCGGAGGAGGGTCCCACATGGCGCGCAGACCTCTCCTGCCGCCCGCTGCTCCCCTCAGCAGTGTACTTCGGTCCTTCTGCCTGCTCTGCTCCCCGCTCTGGCTCTGGTGAATTCTCTCACCCTCCCGTGCTTCTGACTGTACCCAGTGCTTGTATAAACAAACAAACAAATAAATAAATAAAACATGCCTCTATAAAAAAAAAATATTAAAAAAAAAAAGATTCTAACTTGGCATTATGAGAAGTTTCCAGAAAATGTGCATGTTTGGAGATGCTCAAGGCAGAAAGGAACTACTGGATTTATAACACACTTGCCCTCCTGGTCCCAGGCCCCTGTGCAAAGAGAAATAAACTCAACGCAAGCAAACCCAGATGCCACTTCATAATCTCCCTCCTGAACTGCCAATAAATAGTAACCAAAATGTGAAAAAGCAAACGTTTTTATTAGAAGTGAAAAAAATGTTTCCAAGTTTACACATGCAAACACATCATCCCACCAGCACAGGGGTTTCTAAATCCAGTGGCAAAGCAGATACAAACCCAGCTGGCAAACACACACCTCTCCTGCCCCCACTGAGCAGCTGTGTTTGGAGTAAGCTGCTCACCCAGCAGGAAATCAAACACGTACCAGAAGGTCTAGTGACTGGCTTGACAGAGCAACAGGCCTTACTACAAGTGGACAGGCAGGAGGCGCTGCCTCCACTCCCGGCAGCCGTGCCCACCGGGGCTAGAAGTCTCGACCTCGAGCAGGATCCACCTAGCCAGGTGACCAGGCTCAGCTGCTGTCCCAGTGAACACTCAGCACATCAGCAAACACCCTGGCGACCCGAGCCAGAACCTCTACGCCATCACCTGACAGACTTCACTTTCTGCAAGGTCTGGGGCTTCGCTCAGGGAGGCGAGAACCACCGCTGCTGCTTCTTTCCTTCCTTACCTTCTTAGTGGTCTCCTTTGCTTTGATTTAAAGCATGTGGCATGGGGCTTCCCTGGTGGCGCAGGGGGTTAAGACACAACCCGTGAAGCTGTCCGCAGCCTCTGCAGCACAAGTTCGATCCCTGTGCCAGAGGTCTGGCACAGCAGACCTCTTCTGTCTCGCCCGCTGCTCCCCTCAGCAGTGTATATTTCAGTCAGTCTGCCTGTTCTGCTCCCCACTATGATCTGGTGAATCCTCTCACCCCCAACACCTCTGCCCTGTACCCCAGCTCTTGTATGCATAAATAAATAAATCTTTTTAAAAAAAAAAAAAAGCATTTGGTGTGTCTGACACACGTCTTGCCTGATGAAGTCTCAGCATAGGGAAGCTTCATTTCCAGCACTGTTGTGGAGGGTTGGAGCAAAAAAATATCGCACCTAGCTTTTGTAAAAAAGATTTATTTCCATATAAAAGTGCCAAAATATCCCCCAATGTCATCTATCTCAACAATCAGTTTACGCTAGTCATCAAATCACAAGCCTCTTTATTCACATTGTTTAAAAATTGAACTCTTTTCACACGTTCCCACAGTAGCTGGAGTCTCTGGACAGCGGGAAGCCGGCGCCCCTGCTGGCCGGGCTAGTCCATATGTCCAGGTCCATGTAGGCACGAAACGGGTTGAAGCCCGGGTAGTACTCCTTGCACATCACCGCCTGGCTCTCCATGTGCGTTGAGTGTTCGGCGCTGGGGCTGACAGGGCAGCAGTTCTCATAGACGTCACTTTGGGGCGCCCAGATGGAACCAAAAAGTCCAGACATTGGAGACAAGCTCCGGGTGCTCGTGAGGTAGGGCTGCAGGGCAAAGGAGGGGGGAGAGAGGCGTTAAAAACCCAGCAGCCTTCAAAAATTCATGTCAGGGTTGAATATATCCCAGTCGATATCACCGTGGGATGGACAGCCTATTCTCACCCCTCTAGGTGGCTTTAACTCTCTCTCTTTTTTTTTTTTTAAAGTATGATGTGAAATCCTCATCTAACTGGATAATTTTATTTTCAACCCCAGGAAGGACCCTCCGGTCAAATGCCCTATGTGTAAACAACAGCTGAGTGGGTGTCAGAGCAGCAGGCCTGGCTTTTAAACACAGAGAGGGGCTCCCCCTCACAGTCAGGGGGCCCTCGGACCCTCGCTGGCCACCCACTGGCCTTACCAGGACTTTCATTTCATCTCTTGTTTAAAGCTCCGAGGGCTTCCTGGCCCCCAGTCAATTTTATCTAGTGGTGCTCACTCCCTGGTGCAATGGCCAAGTCCCTCCTCTGTGGTGACCACATGGTCAATGGCCACAAGCCCGCCCGTCCAGTGACGAGTCACGCTGCTCCTGAGGGGCAGTCTGGCGTCTGTGATCTAAAGGAAACAAGCTGGGCTTTGGCTGATCTGAACCCAACTCCACAGCTACCGAGACCAGGTTTAAAGAAGCCTCAGGAAGAACTCGGGGTGCCCAGGAGGTGGGGCCAGCACTGACCGGAGAGCTGATGAGACCGGCGTGTCCCCAGGCGGTCGGCAGGCTGGTAGGGGTGCTCCAGGCGTGCTCCGCGAAGTCTGTCTGAACTTCAGCTGGACAGGGGAAGCCATGGGGGTAATTCATGTTTTCTAGGAATGGAGATATCAACACAGGTCAACATTTTTATGGCGAGAAATGAACCCTCACTCTTGAGCCAAACAGTTCTTACAGCCTTCCTCTCCACTGACAAGCTAAAGACAGACGTAAAACATGTATTCAGTGCGGCCGGGGAGGGCTGTTCCACTGTCATTCTCGAAGTTAAAGCTGCTTATCGAAAATACCACAACTGGGAAGACCTCAGGGAGGTGTTTCTTTGGGCCTGATTTTCTGTGTTTGATCACTGAATGGGAAGCTTTCCAACAGAGAGAATACACTAATGCACTCCTGTAGCAGTAAATACTATTTTTATTTGAATACTGTCAAGATTCTTATCAGCCCTTAGTTTTCTTTTATGACGTGTCATGCCAACCTCAGCCAGCTGCACACATACCAGAAGGGCTGACACGAGAAAGCACTTGTGTTTAGATAAGATAGTAAACAGGCTCCCAGCCCAGGAAGGAAGTTACCACAGCACCCCCGCGTGGTTAGCAGGCAGCAATGCATGTGTCAAAATCCAAGTAAGTGCAAACCTAACAGGCAGCTCAGCCCTCCCCTGGAAAGGCAGCTCTAGCGTGAGAAATCACGGTCAGGCTACAGGGTATGGTATCATCACTTCCAGCTCATCAGGGCAACCTCACATCTGTCATTACCGATGCTTAAGTCCATGTATCTGCAATTTTCCACAATTTTCCCTCCAAACAGAAGAGTCAGGATATGCTAAGGAAATAGTACCTAAATGCTGCTATTTCACCTAAGACTTGTTTTATTGAAAAGAAGAGCCAACAACTAAAGCCCCAGCCTCCCAATGGATAATCCGCAATGTGAGATCCACGTTAAGTCTCAACGACTCAGTTCTACCTAACTTGAAGGACTAAATAGTTCAGGTTTTTGATTCAAGCCCACAGACACCCAGCTTCTTGAGGCCACACTAGGTTACATAGGGTGGGTGTGTCCCCTGCGTCCATTCCAAGGCACCCGGCAGCCACAGGTAGGTCACTTCAAGGTTGCTGCTGTTGAAGCGCACCTTTTTCTGCAGTTAGTGCCTTTCAGGCCCACGCTGCTTGATCTGGCTCTCTGAGAAGCAAAGAAAGGCACTGGAGTGAAGGAAAGGTGTTGTACTTTACCTTCTGGAAAGGTGTTGTACTCGTTCATGTCCAGTGGGCAGTACACATTGGGGAACTGGCCTTCGCAAGTTGTATTCCAATCAACGAAACTGCTATGAAACAAACAGAGTTTCAGAAACGGTGTCAATAGATCAAGTAAAGAGGAAAATGATTTTTACTGCCCAGAATCCTAATCATGGCTAATTCCTCAACTTTGGAAAATACAAGATGTGCTCTCTCCAGTATCAGGAACTTGATAACCCACGCTCATCACCAACGATGTCCAGGCCGGGTGGAGGGCCAGGACAAGGAGCGCGCTTCCTTTGCAGCCCCGTCGAGAAGTCTAACGGGAGGCTGACTCCAGGGCTGTGGTACTGCAGGTGCTGGGGAAGGACGCCCAGACCACCCTGGTGTGCCCAGCACACGCCTGAAGGACACACCATGTTCCGCCATCGAGCTGAGCCGGCATCCGCCTCGGGTACATCCCTGGCGGGATGTACTAATTGCTAATGTTGCTAATATCCAATAGCAATTTTAAGAAATGGTCATCATGCAACAAATTTCCAATACTCTATGTGGTCTCCTACAACTTTATTGTGTTTCAGATTAGTGCCAGGGAAATGAAAATCACTGCTTGGTGAGTGATTTTGGTGAGAATTGTGAGTGTGTGAGAATTGTGCTTGGTGAATTGTGAGATGTTTTTCAACTTTGCCTTACTCATCGCTCACCTCTTCAGTGTAAAAGGGAAAGCTGTGACGTGGTCACCAGCAAAGTGACCTTTATAGCCTTTTACGCTCCTCTCAAAGTCTGCTTTGCTATTTTCAGAGAGATCACAGCACAACTCCAGCGGGGAGATGGGAACACCCGGATGAGGGAGACAGCCGGAAAGGAAGGCTGGCCCTGGTTTATTGCAAGGACCGAAACCCCCCAGGACACAAAGCCCTGGGCCCTCGTGCTGAGCAGGACCGGGGCGGGAGGGGCCGTACCTGCTGTGGACTGGGGCAGGGCCCTGCACCACGCTGGGCATACTGGTGTCCAGGGTGCCATTGAAGCTGCTTGTCACACACATGGGCTGGGTGGGCCACAGCTCTCCCGGCGGGTACAGGCCTAGGGGAGGGAACAAGGCTCGTGGTCCGGCTCGCCCTTTTCCTCCCGCAGGACGCAGCTCCACATCGCTGCCCTCCTCCCAGGAAACAGTCCCATGTCACCCACACAAGCCAACTCCTTGACACCCATCCGGGATGTCAAGAGGAAGTGCAGCCTATCATCTGCCTTAGCCTTGGAGGGGAGCAAGTGGGTGAAAGAGTCAGCAAGAGAGGCAGCATCAGGGGTCTACGTGCTGCTGCAACACAGTGATTTTAAATGGGTGTGGAAGGCCTCCTGGAGAGAGTATGATCAGAGGCAGAGGTGAATGAGGTGGGGGTGTACCCCAAGTGGGGTGGGGTACACAGGGTGTGCTCAGCACTGGGGACAGCTATCACGGCACAGGCCAGGGAGCCAGAGGGCGCCCAATGAGACCAGACCAGCAAGGACACTGGTGTGGGGCCTAATAATTAGAGCCTGAGGGGCCAGAGCGCTGGCTGGGATCCAGACAGGACTGAGCCTGTGAGCCCCTTTAAGGGCAGGCCTTTACTGGAGCAGAGAGGAAGCTGCTAGAAGATTTGGAGCAGACTAAGTGCAGCAGGTTTCCTCAGCATTGCCCCACTCCCAGGATGCTGCTTCCCTCAGCAGGCGGCCTGCAAGAGCTCAGCCCCTGGTCTTAGGGCTGGTGACAGAGATGCTTACTCACAAACCCCCCAGGGTACAGGTTTCTGTGACAGGGCAATAGGGGAGGAAGAAGAGAGATCAGGGCGAGCGGAAGCAGATAAAGACTTCAGAGCCCCGCCATGGACTGCCTCTGCTTTTCTTGCACTTCAGGCTGGAAAGGCGAGCTACAGACAGAAGCGCCGATGTCAAGCTGTAAGGGTCTCTGACACAAATGCCCCAGCACGGCCCTGCCCACCCAGCCTGCCCGTGTCCTCAGGCTCCCACCAGTGGTGCAAGGCCCAACACCTGGCGGTGGCACATGGCTGTGGCTGCAAGGAGGAAATTGTCTCACCTTTTTCTTCTTCAGGCCCTGCAGGGGCAGGAAGGCTGGGACAGGGCGGTTCCACATATTGTGGGAGATTATTCCTGTCTCTGGGGAGAAGCCAGAAAATGAGAAAATGTTGATTATTTTTTTTCTATTCAAGGAAATACTGAGATAGTATAACCAGGTCTGTTTGAGTTTTTACATAAATTCTTCCCCAGGAAACAAAGAGAGGACATAATGGTATACAGCCAGAGGGGCCGAGGAATAGTACGTTCCCAACAGGCAGCAGTCTTATTTTGATAAATGACAACAAAACTCTAACTATGGTGACTAGAGAAATCTGCAGTTTCAAACCTGCCCACCAGCCAGCCAGTCACCATCCTTACACCCTCCTTTACTTCCTACTACTAACAAAAGTAGCTCTGCAGAGCTGTCCCTGACCCCCAGCCGAGCTCCCTCCCACAGAATCCTTGCCTTCCCCTTAATGACACCTCCTGCCGGCTCACCACTCCACGTGGCTGGAACCTAAGGAACTGCAATTCAGTCTGAACTCTGAAGGCCTCTCCTCCACCTCGCAGGCCCTCTCCTGTCATTCAGGAAAACTGGCTCATTTATTCTGTCCATGGCAAAAGAGTGGGCACCTTCTGGATTCCTACCCAAGTCCCTAAATCACCAATGTTCAGTTGAAGTTTCAGCAAAGGCTGGATGATCCTATCCTTTCAAAAACGTGTTTCTTCTTCCTACTTTCAGGAACATTTCCAAGGTGGCTCTGTCACTGAAAGGACCAGCGACGCCAGACACATCCTCACATGAACTGTGTCCCCTTAGAAGGGTCACTGGTCCAGAATCATTAGGGAAATCAGATTCTACTTCCTCAAGTCCTGAAAAAGCTATCCTAGTTTAACCTGCAAACCAGCACAGGGGTAGAAAAAGCAGGACGCAGCGGGCTGAAAAAGCTGCAGAGCTCACACTTGCACACTTACGTGGGGATGCAGATGTCGTGAGGGAGGCTTAAGGGAATGGGGGTTTCCACAGGAAAGTTGCTCTGTGAGATGCTGTCTCCTGAATATAAACATAACAAAGGACAAGTTAACTCAGAGGAGAAATTCAAGGGTATGATGTATTAAAATGCATATGACTAATAGCATTAGCTCCGAATCAGTGCTCTATTTTTTACTTTAAAGTGATATCCATAGATTCAGTAATTTCATTTTTGGAAGGTCCATTTTATCTTTTCATTGAAAACTAAGCATTTAGGGCCTCCCTGGTGGCACAAGGGGTTAAGCACCGCACTATGAAGCAATCTGCAACCTCTGCAGCACGAGTTCAATCCCAGCTGGCCAGGGAGCTACCCACATGACACAGCAGACCTCTCCTGTCTCGCCTGCTGCTCCCCTCAGCAATGTATTTCAGTCTGTGTACCTGTTCTGTTCCCCACTCTGCCTCTGGTGAATCCTCTCACCCCCCCCCCACATCTCTGGCTTGTACCCCAGCTCTTGTATGCATAAATAAAATATTTTAAAAAAAAAAAAAGAAAACTAAGCATTTAAATTTATGATTTTGGGATGGAAAATGTTTTAATTATAGGGAAAAGCTTGAAACCATTAATATAATGTAATTTTTAATAGGGATTTTTTGCACAAAAGAAATTTAGCTATCTACATGTCCCCTATCCTCAATTCATAACACACACACACAGACGCACACTGACCACTGTAGGAAACCCTTAAAAAATAAGCTTAAAGGGGCCTTCCCGGTGGCGCAGCAGTTGAGCGCTGGGCTGCGAAGCTGCCCACAGCCTCTGCAGTTCTGGTTCGATCCCCGGCCACCGGCGAGGGTACCACATGGCGCGCAGACCTCTCCTGCCGCCTGCTGCTCCCCTCAGCAGTGTACCTTGGTCCTTCTGCCTGTTCTGCTCCCCGCTCTGGCTCTGGTGAATTCTCTCACCCTCCCATGCTTCTGACTGTACCCAGTGCTTGTATAAATAAACAAATAAATCTTAAAAAAAAGTTTAAAGAAGAAAAATATAAATCATCTGTGATTATACTACCATTATCAGCATTTAGGTATTGTATATTTCCTCATAATCTCTTTTATGTGTATACAGATGTGTAAGATCGGGACCAGATTTTATATATATTTTGACACTTGGATCTTTTACACCATTAATTACATTAGGCATATTTTCCTGCTATCACATAAACTTTAAGCAACCTGGTAACTGTGTGTTAGCCAGAGGACAGCAACACTGTCCCTGTTTTTATCATCCTGCTGTTGGCCTGCCCCCCAAGCCAAAGCTGCACTTCTGGTTTTGTTAAGTATCAATTTTAAAAATAAGGTTAGTAGCATTAGGAAAACTGTCTTCAGTGGTGGATGGAGCTGGGCTTGCAGGAGCCACGGAAACCACTTTCTCTTCCAAGAAAACCACGCCCCATATCCATCAAACCAAAGTCCATGCCCCTCACCTAGGACCCTGCGTTCCCCTGGGGCGGGCTGGCTTGTTTCTTGGGGGGTTGAGAAAATCTTATTTATGCACTAAGCACACCATGCAGGAGCAAACACGTATGCAACGTCTTTCAGGGGTAGTGTTTCACGGGGGTCACCAGATATCTACAAGGACTCTGGGGGTGGGGGTGGATAATGAAAAAAGCCCGAGGGTAAGGTAAGTGAAAAAGCATCAGGCTTTTCTGCCCTCCCGCCATCAGGACTGATGACGGAACCCTGCGGTCCTGAATGCATGCCTGATGGCGGGCGCCTGGAGTAGGTGTGGGCATAGGTAGGTGGGCTTCACCTGGGCTAAGACCGCCTATAAGGGCGGTGTCACGGGGACGCCAGCAGAAGCAGAGAGCAGAGGAGCAGAAGAGAACAAGAGAGTGAAAGGAGCAGAGAAGAAAAGGCCACGAGAGAACACCCGAGAGCCCAGAAAGAGAGGTTTGCCCCCGGCACCTCTGCCTGCCGTGCACCTGGTAAATCCTAATAAAGCCTGCAAAAGCCACTGAGGACTCCAGGACTCTCTCCTCCTTTACTGTCTGCTCGGGTCATAGAGGAGGTGCACTGTGCCCATTCCTGCCGCTGCACCCAGAAACACTGATCACAGGTGGGGGCACTGTCTAGTTTTATGGCTACTAAACCCAGACCCTCGTTGCAGTATCACGGCTGGGAGGAGACCAGGGGACCACGAGAGGCTACTGAAGGAATGCTCTGCCTCTCGTCACATGAGCAGGAGACAGGGCTCCGGACACTGGTGGGGAGAGAGCTGGGCTCAACAAGGAGACGCAGCTCATCCAGGTGGCTGCTGAGCAAACCCGGTGTCTAAACGGCCAGCCCCTCTTGACAGGTCCTCACAGGTCAGATGGTCCAGGGACACCGGCCCCTGCCCTGCCGCCACCTCAGTGGGGCTCAACCTGCCTGACAAACGCACAGGGTCACTAGTGGGAATTTCTCAGCCTCACTGCCTCGTTATTTTAAGGTTAAAGGTTTATAACGTTGAAAATCACAGTGAAACAGCAGGAATGACATCCTTAGGGAGACATGGAGTTAAAACACAGGGAATGCTACACTGAAAAACGGACCCCTTCACGTAAGTTAAAAACAAAAAACCCTGTATTTCCCTGATGGACATATGAACAAAAAAGGATACGTGCACGTTCGTGACAGCGTGATACACTGCAAGCGATGGCAGTGGAACGGACTTTGAAGTATTAAGGAAAAAAAAAATCCAGGGCCTCCCTGGTGGCGCAGCAGTTGAGCGCTGGGTTGTGAAGCTGCAGCGCTGGTTCGATCCCCGGCCACCAGGCAAGGGTCCCTCATGGCGCGCAGACCTCTCCTGCCGCCCGCTGCTCCCCTCAGCAGTGTACTTCGGTCCTTCTGCCTGCTCTGCTCCCCGCTCTGGCTCTGGTGAATTCTCTCACCCTCCTGCGCTTCTGACTGTACCCAGTGCTTGTATAAATAAATAAATAAATCTTAAAAAAAAAAAAATCCAAGGGCAAATCTGACAAAAATCAGGTGCTATTCGTTATGGGTGATAGAAAGACAGACGCTTCCTTGCCTTTCCTGTTTACTTTCAATTTTGTGAAAATAAGAGGCAGCCATGTTCACAGCAGCTCTACTCTCAAAGCCAAAGGTGGAAGCAAAACAAAAGTTCTTCAATGGAGGAGTGGAGCAACACAATGTGCTGTGTGTGCTGTGTACATCGTGTGTACGTACACACACACACACACACACACACACACACACACACGAATATTATTCAGCCCCTGAAAGGCAGGAAAGCCTGACATGTTACAGCATGGCTGACTTGAACATTATATTGTATAAAATAAGCCAATCACAAAAGGACAAATGTTGCCTGATTCTACTGGATCAGATTCTACAGCAAACCTGAGAGAGAGAGAAAGCAGAAGAGGTTGTGAGGGGCTGGGGGGCAGGGGAGGAGCATGGAGAGCCACTTCTGCCTGGCACAGAGGCTCAGTCTGAGACGTCAAAAGAGTTCTGGCGGTGGATGCGGTGATGGAGGCACAACCAGCTGAATGCACGAAAGCCCCTGAACCACACTTAAAAACAGTTAAAATGGTAAGTTTTGTGTTAGCTGTATACTCTGCCACAACAAACACACGCACACACACAAGTAAAAAGTGAGGAAATAAATGTGGAAGCCAGCTGACCTGTTCCAAAGGCAGACACTAATATTGATGATGATGATGCTGATGACAGAGGAGAGGGGAGAGGAGGCGGGAAGAAAGGAACATGCGTGAAGCCCTGCGCCCTTCCTGCCCCAAGCACACAGAAGGGCCTCGGCGAGGAGCCCAGGCTCTGGACGGACTCACCGGCTGGCAGGCAGCGCTGGGGCCCAGCCACAGGCTTCTTGTCCCCATCGAGGCTGCTGGCACTGCTCCAGCTGCCCCAGCTGCCCCTGCTGGCGCGCACGCTGCCCGAGGAGCTGCCGCAGTCCGAGCTGGAGTCCGAGCAGGCCTTCTCCGCACACGGCTTCCCCGGCTTCTGGTAGAAACGCTCTGCGGGAAGAGAGAGCCGCGCTGACCTACGCGGAGCAGCCAGGGTTCCCAAAGCCATTTTCAAGGTCGATGCCATTTCCAGTGAAAGGAGAGAAGCCACGTGATGAAGGCACCAGGCCCCCCCTCTTGAGAAGAATGAACTGGAATTAATGACAGCACTTTAGGGGGCCTCGTTGGGGGCAGGCGTGTCTACTGCCTGCAGGAGGGACAACTACACCTGTTTTGGGCACAGTCAATACCGATGATTACCTTGACCTGAAAAACAGTTCTGGAACTAACAGCTCTATTCAGAAAATCAAGACTATTCCACTGGACTGCAGATCTGTAGGTAACTTCCCCCTACTAAGACATCATCAAGGGTGCCCAAGTGTCACTGATGCACGTGTGGGAAGAAACTCCAAGACCAAAAAGCAACATGCACATCCAGGGCATGATGTGCAAACATGTGGTCCCTGCAGCTCACGGGCACTGACGCCACACTGAGACTGGGGAAGCAGGTGTGGGCTGGGAAGGTCATGATGCCCCACACTGTACCCCAACTTCAATGGTTCTTTAGCCTCCTCTGGGCCTAGTATTGGGGGCAGCCCCTGATCTCCCACTCCCGGGGACACTTTCCCTCAGTCCTTGGGTGAGGCAGCAGCTGATGCTACAAAAATACCTGGCTCAGGTGTGGGGGTAGCACTATTCTCACCTGGCCATCCCTTTACACCCCCCTTTCACCAAGGGGTCCTGTCTAGAGCAAATGTCCATTATTTCTCTGCAGTCTGCATCAGGGAAATGGAGAATGGCTAGATTTCAGGTGAGGGGAGGTGAGGGTGACTCAAGGCTGTCCAGGCTTGGAGGAATCTTAGCTTTCTGCACCCATCCGGGCAGCTTCCACTGGGCCTGAGTGAACTAAGCTACCCATCAAATAGCAGCTCATGGAGACACCACTTCTCTTACACCGGATCATTCCCTCGAGGACACAAAGACTCCGACAGAAGTGCCGCTCGTGGCTCAACATAGTCACGTACCTGCCTCGCCCTGGGCCGCAGGTGAGCTGCTTCCCAGGCCAGCATCTGCTTTACATGCTTCCCCAGCGTTTTCCTGGATACACCAGCTCCTTACAGCCATGTCACTGCTCGGCTCAGACCTTTCAAATTCACTACATACAAGCTTCAATTCACTCTGTTCAGAAAGCCTGGAAGAGCCCAGAAAATCATTTCCACCTTTTAGCATGAATACGGACATGTCTGCTTTCCATGCAACTTAGCAGAAGCGTGAACAGGAACTTGGGACAACTTGAGATTTCTCTCGAGGGGAGACTACGATGAGGAAGGGAGGGATGGATCAATAAGGCTGTCGCCATTTTAGAGCTGGAACTAACTCGGAGACCATTGAATCACTTGACTTCTTGCAGCTCTAAGGACAAACCTTCTGCAGGACTGGGCCCAGGGTTCCATGAAGGGTGACTGTTCTCCCCAGGAGTCCAGGGGGTGAGGGTCTGCGCCTGCTCTCCAGGGCTTCCTACAGAAACCGCTGCACAAATGAACGGCCCGGTGTCTCCTAGGTGGAGCGAAGACCCCAGCACGCAGTGTGTAAGCTTTCTCCCCCCAAACCTCCCGCAGATGGCAGCACTGTACAAGGTAAAACTTTAAAAATGGGTCCCCTTGGACATATTTCTAACAAAATTAAAACCATAACCAGAACATGTTAATTTTAAGATTAGACTTTTATCTCAAAATGTAAGCATCTACACTCGCGTGATCTGTATGTGACCTAACAGAAGACTGAAAGGCAACAGCTTGTGGTCAAATCACAGCGGAAGAGACAAGCCCGGCCCGGGGAGCTGTGCAAAGACCCACCTTAAGGCTGGAGCAACGCCTCTTTTCTTGTTTTTCCTACATGTTCGATTTTTATTCCAATTTAAATTCTGTAAATGTCCTTCTTTTTTCTCTTGAAGTTTCTTCTTCCTATAAGGATCTTCTTGCTAGAGAGAAAAAAGAAAACTTTTAGTAAAGGTTTCAATCAATTTAATAGAAATAAAAAAGTCTCTTTTTTTAACTTTTGAACACCAGCTCCACCTGCACTCAGAACATCCCGGCACCAAAACGCCAAAACCTACATTTCTCAGCCCCCAGTTTGTTTTCATTTCCATTGCAACACTACTTCCCTCAAATTCACAAAAGAAAAAAAAAAATTGTTGCCCATAGCCTCCCCGGTGGAGCAGCGGTTGAGCGCTGGGTTGCGAAGCTGCCCACAGCCTCTGCAGCACTGGTTCGATCCCCGGCTGCTCCCCGGCCACCGGTGCAGGGTCCCACATGGCGCGCAGACCTCTCCTGCCGCCCGCTGCTCCCCTCAGCAGTGTACTTCGGTCCTTCTGCCTGCTCTGCTCCCCGCTCTGGCTCTGGTGAATTCTCTCGCCCTCCCGCGCTTCTGACTGTACCCAGTGCATGTATAAATAAATAAATATAAAAAAAATGAAAATAATTAAAAAAAAATTGTTGCCCATAAAATCCTTAAGGAGCTAAAAAAGGGAACCATCTGTGACCAACATGTGGTCCAAACAACAAAGCCCCAGCCCTGGCCCAGGCATTGGGCCCACAAGGACAAATGAAAGAAAAATCAGGTAAAGGTTCACCACGTGAACAATCTGGGCATATGTTCTTATTTGTTTATAGCTAAACATGACAACAGCCAAGTCTCCAGAATGCTCTAGATTACGTCAAGATTTCTGAGTAAAACAGGTAACAATATACTTAAGTGTTTTTAAAATATGCTTCTGAAAAACTTAGCATGCGATACCTATAAATGATACATATAATCTCTACATGCTTATGGGTAATGATTATTGGCATTTGGGCTTTTCCCTCTTTTAAATGTTAGGCGTGGTCTATTAACAGGCCCAAGAGGTGGGAGATTCCCTTACTCTCAAAAAATTTTATTTCCTTAATTTTTAAAAAATATATTTGCACAGGGCCTCCCTGGTGGCGCAGCGGTTGAGCACTGGGCTGCGAAGCTGCCCGCAGCCTCTGCGGCGCTGGTTCAATTCCCGGCCACCAGCGAGGGTCCCACATGGCGCGCAGACCTCTCCTGCTGCTCCCCTCAGCAGTGTACTTCGTCACTCTGCCTGTCCTGCTCTCCGCTCTGGTGAATTCTCTCACCCTCCCGCACTTCTGACTGTACCCAATGATTGTATAAATAAATCTTTAAAAAAATATATATATATATTTGCACAGAAGAACTGGGGTGTAGGCCAGAGGTGCCAGGGAAGAAAGGGTGAGAAGATTCACCAGAGACAGAGTGGGGAGCAGAACAGGCAGATCTACTGAAATACACTGCTGAGGGGAGCAGAGGGAGAGACAGGAGAGGTCTGCTGCGCCATTTGTGGGTTAGTTCTCTGCAGGGATTGAACTCAGGCCACAGCAGTGACAGCACTGAGACTGAACCCCTAGACCACCAGGGAGTCCCGTCTTAAATTTTAAAGTAGCTCAGGTCTTTATTTTATTTTTTAAAAAGATTTATTTATTTATTTATTTATTTATTTATTTATTTATTTATTTATATATACATACAAGCACTGGGTTCAGTCAGAAGCGTGGGAGGGTGAGAGAATTCACCAGAGCCACAGCGGGGAACAGAACAGGCAGACTGACAAAGAAGCACCCTGCTGAGGGGAACAGTGGGCGTGGCAGGAGAGGTCTGTCGCCCCATGTGGGACCCTCGCAGGTGGCCTGGGATTGAACCGGCACTGCAGAGGCTGCGGGCAGCTTCGCAGCCCAGCACTCAACCGCTGTGCCACCAGGGGAGGCCCAGCTCAGGTCTTTAAAGTCACCTAATTCATAATTCTTTCTTCCACCAACCTGCAGGGGGCACAGTCAGTGGGTGGGTGGAGGGAGTGCCCACACTGACACCCTAGATTAAAAACAACAACTCCTCTTCTGAGGGTGTTAGATCTTTTAGGAGGCAAATGTCTCTTCTGTAACCTCACAGAGGCAACCCCTGTTCAGTCCTTAGGGCTGTGGGTCCTTAGGGCTCACATCTCACAAAGAGCAAATACTGGCTCATTTCACTGTCTCTTTAGAAGGTTGGTCTTTTGAAAAGTTGCAAAGGACTTTAATGTCTGACTGCAGGCAAATGGTTTCAATTAGGCCATCATTAAATGCCAGAATGTTACAGATCCACTGAAACACCTCCCTCCCCCCCATTAATTTCTAACGTGAGAAAGTGTAGAATTCTAGCCATACAACAAAGCTACATACACACATGATAACGATCTGGAGTTTGAAAAAATCTGCATAGAACAGAAACAAGACGGAATAATGTGAAAAGAGATTTGTTTTGTATGGAGCTTGCTCCCTCCTGCCTTATGCTTCTATAGTAATCATGAATTCCTTTTCTAAGTAAAAAAAAAAAAAATCTGCTTGAAAGAAAATAAACAGGGCTAGGGTTAAAGTTTCATTTGTGGCTCCCAAATCTGGGCGTCAACCTTCTTTGCCAATAAATCCAGAGGAATGTTCCCCATGTACTATAGTCAGATTTATACAATTTTCTAAACTGCAAAGGCCCTAAGAATGTACAAGAAAAACAAACATTAAGCACTGCACTTGGGAATGTGTTTATTGGGGATGATTTTCTCCAAACGAACAATGAAATGGAAAGTATACTCGCTGGGGAGTGAGTCACAGAAGAAATGGCTGATCGGGGCCCCCAATCTGCACCCAAGGCCCCCCTGGCTGACTTGGAGGCCAGCCTTGCACAGAGCACAGCCTGAGCCCCCCAGTTCCTCGCATACTTCTCCTGACACTAGCCACCCACCGGGGCAGACGTCTGTCCTGACAGGCTCAATGGGCCAGAAGAGGAAGGAAGGGGCTGGTACAGGAACTGGGACTGAGAAGGAGAAATGTCTGAGCTCCAGGGATGGAGACACAAGGCAAGCCTGCCCCCCCAAGCATCTAATGGTGAGACCCAGAGAGGAAAATAACTTGAACAGATTAAGAAAATGGTCACAGCAAGGGCCCAAGATGAGGGGTTGGCGTGGAGTCTGAGATGTGGGACTGGCACCCGTGGGTGGAGGAGAGACGGGTGCCCACAGCAGCACCCTGAGGCTCTGTTCCTCCTGACTCCCCTCTGGCACTGGGGCTGGGGGCTCTCTGGGATTCTGTTGTTTGGGGATCCACTTATATGAGCCAGAAAGGACTCCCTCTCCTGTGGGTTTTAGCTTATAATTTTCAAACTCGTCAAGATCATGCCCTAAAATTGGTTGCTGGTTAAGAACTGGAGAGAAGAGGTATGTGATCAGATCTCTACCACCTTTACCCAGGGGTTAACACATTTCTTTAAGAACAGGTTCTCCTTGGGGCCTCCCCGGTGGCGCAGCGGTTGAGCGCTGGGTTGCAAAGCTGCCCGCAGCCTCTGCAGCACCGGTTCGATCCCCGGCTGCTCCCCGGCCACCGGGTGAGGGTCCCACATGGCGCGCAGACCTCTCCTGCCGCCCGCTGCTCCCCTCAGCAGTGTACTTCGGTCCTTCTGTCTGCTCTGCTCCCCGCTCTGGCTCTGGTGAATTCTCTCACCCTCCCGCGCTTCTGACTGTACCCAGTGCTTATATAAATAAATAAATAAATCTTAAAAAAAAAAAAAAAAAAAAAAAGAACAGGTTCTCCTTGAGAACAAAAGCTATGTGATGTCACTAAAATATATCTTAATGTCTCCTCTGTAACTAGATGCTAAATAAAACTTAATGGGCAAGTCAAACTCATCAGTTACCAGTATGGATGTGAATGCAGGAAAACTCTCCTCTTTGAAAAGTATAATAATCCATGTACAGTTACCTTACGGGTATTGAAATGGTGAGCCCTAAAAATGGGTTTTGTTCCTTTTAAGAGGCAAGAAAAAAAGGAGTACAGACCTCTACTGAAGGCATGTCCTGCTTCTCAGAACATATATCTTCTTTAGATGCTTTGTGAATCTTCTTTTCTGAAGAAGACTTTGTGTCACTCCTTCGCAAACTTTCACAATTGTCTGTTTCATTCTTGATTGGCACTTGCTGGTTATTTCCTTGAATAAATTAAAAGAATTCCATTTCAAGCGAATTATTTCCATTCATGTTCCCTATAGTTAAACAAATCTCTTTCCTATACCAAAAATTTCATTTGATTTAATGAGATTTAGACTCAAGGGTTGTTTTTGACATCCACAATATCATCAAAATTTGTTTTGTTTACAGAAGTTTATTTTGTTTACAGGTAAAAATCCACTTTCATTAAAAGAATTCTGGAGTCGAGGGGTAAAGGGCAGGAGAGGTGCCCTATGGTTCACAGCTGCACTGTTTATAGTAGCCCGAAGGACCACGGGAGAAGGACAAGTAAACAAAACGTGGTCTATGCAGCCTGCGAATATCATTAATTCAGCTTTTAAAAGGAACCATTCTTTGCATGACAATATGAATATTTTTAATGCTACTGAATTGTACACTCAAAAACAAGATGGAAAAAGGAATGAAATCCTGATATCTGCACCAACATGGGATGAACTTTGAAGACATTAAGCTAAGGGAAATCAGCCAGCCAGAGAGAGCCCAGTCTTGTATGATTCCACTTGCTCGAGGGACACAGGATCATTGAATTCAGAGATAAAAAGCGGGGGGGGAGGGGGTCAGCAGTGTGGGAGGTGGGGCACAGGGACTTCACCAATTGGGACAGAGTTCCTGTTCGGGATGGTGGGAGAGTTCTGGGAAAGCGAGATGGTGGTGGCTGTGCAAGTGTGAATGTCACTGGGTTTTATCCCTAAAAATGGAACATTTTACATTATGCATATTTTGCCATAGTTTTTTTCAAAAATTGGGGCGGGAACAGAGGGAAAAGACTTGGGCTCTGCTGGTGATTCAGTCCCTAGTTAGTTGGATCATTAAAGTAAGTCTGTAAGTGCTTTAACCTCAGTTTCCTCATTTATAAAATGAAGATTCCACCTTCTCGGTCCACCCTGCTTGACTGTTAGGATCATGAAACCTGAGGGCCTCTAAGGGCAAAGGGTCCAAATCAGTGAGCTGGTGCAGGCCTGTCCTAGCCTGTGGCAGCTCTGCCGCCCCGAGGACAACTCTGTGGCTGGGCGACAAGCAGAGGTGCTGGAAGAACGCTCACCTGCCAACGCCACTTGTCCATCTTTCTTTCCAGTGACTTCATTTTTTCTTCTACCCCTCACTTGACAATAAAGTCAGAACAACTGCAACCCACAATAACTGGCCTCAGCCTTCTAATTCAGAACTGAAAGTATTTCACTACTTTCTCCTCTTTTTCTTTCACCGAGACTCCCTCGTCTAGGACAGCTCTGCCACCTGAGAGTGCAGGGGACCCAGAGCTCAGCAGGCCCAGGTGGAGCAGAGCTCAGCAGAGGCTCCCAGGGGCCCTGCAGGGGGCTCAGTGGGCCAACCCACGGGATGGACGGCCATCAAACCCCCGCTGATTCTGGAATTCTAAAACTACAAGTTAAACTCACTCAGAGCAAGACACATACTTTTAAAAATGACCCTTGTAAGATAAGCATACCTTTATTTTGTGAACAGGTAATTGCAGAACGACAACTATCAAATGCTGAGGCGGGAGATGTGACATACCCTGCAACTCGCAGTTCAGATCTACACGTTCAGAAAAATGAGGCTCTGTCCCAAACACTGACTTAAGGTCATATTCCCCAAATGTCACAAGATGAATGTGGAATATTAATCTCTTGGCTACACGCATTACTTGCAATAAAATACCACAGGATGTTTTCATCTTTGGCAATATTGGGACAGACTAAGAAGGCTCTGGTATCCAGGGCAGACCTGGTCATTATCAACTGCTTCCTTGAAAAGCTACAAATAACTTTAACAGTAGAGTTTATAAAGAATCGGCATCAAAAGCAATTAAGGAATACCCCAGGACTTTCTGCCCTCCTGGAACAATCCACCATCTCTCTGGATGGTTTAGAAATAGCTTACTTAGAGGGTAGTTTCAAATTCCCTTCAAATCTGTACATTTCTGAACTAAGAGCAGTCCTACGAGAATCACCACTAGCCCGCCTTCAACATGTCAAAATTGAACAGCATTCTAGCTGCAGAGAACACTTTTGAAACTCATTTCCTTCAACAACACACATGGGCTGTGTCCACACAGGAAAATATCCAACACTGTGAATGAGCCAAAGAAGCTGCCAAGAGTCAGGGAAACAGGCCCCAGAACAGAGAAATAAGTCAGAAAGAAAGACACACTTTGGATTCTGGAAGCCCTGAGTATAAAACAGATACAGATATTCTACTCCAAAAATGTGTCATTGCTTTCGTCCTGGAGTCTTTAATTCATGAGAAAATGGAATTCCAGAAGTTTTCTTCAGGCCAAGAATACAGCACTAGAAGTATGAGTCATCAAAGTTTCTTAGGAAGGATCTAAATTTAATATCCAACCCTGAGCCACTCCCAAGAGAAGCCAGACTCAGAAATGCAGCCATGCCTTCTGCAGGGCCAGGAATCAGGACAAACAATAAAATGAGTTCTAATAACAAGTTTCTCATTGGCTCTTCGAGAAATTTTAACATGACCACAGTCAAGGATGTAGAAACACTGAGTGTTGGCTTCAATTTAAAGAGGAACCAACCCATGCTCCCCTGCGCTTAGCACGCTTACCTGCAGGCTCATGCAACTTTTCTTACAGTGGCTCAGTGCTTGAATGGCAAGCACAATAAGCTTGCCAGAATCCTGCTTAAAGTTCTGTTGAATCCAGTCCATTCATCTATTTTGAGCAAACTGCTAGATCTTCAAGTTATTAGTATTTGTAAGTAAATGAGGCTATTTTTCAAATTTCTGCAAATAGTGGTTCGTCCAAAATTCTGGAAGGATCTATTTAATTCAGTGAAAACTTTCACTGAATGCTAATTTCAAGCCTTAGGTTATTATTCAATTGATAGGTTTGTTATCCTTTACATGTTTGTAAGTGGAAAGCAAGGAAAGAATCTGACAATGGTTGCTAACCATTCCTCTTGGTGGCCGCTGGCCGCTGGCCGCTGTCTGTCTTTAGGCATAATCTGAATCTGTTATTTTGATCACACAACTAAAAAAATGATACATAAACAGTGATAAAGAGAGAGACATATTTCAAAAGGTCATTCACATTAAGAGCAAAGCTCCCACTCCTGTCAGATGGTCAAGAAATAGGGAACATGGAACATACACTTGAAAAATGTGGCTGCTCAAGGGCCTCCCTGGTGGTGCAAGGGGTTAAGCACCGCCCTATGAAGCAATACGCAGCCTCTGCAGCACGAGTTCGATCCCCAGCCAGGGAGAAACCCACATGGAACAGTAGACCTCTCTTAACTCGCCTGTTACTCCCCTCAGCAGTATATTTTGGTCAATCTGCCTATTGTTCCCCATTCTGGCTCTGGTGACTCCTCTCACCCCCCACATCTCTGGCCTGCACCCCAGCTCTTATATGCATAAATAAATAAATCTTTTTAAAAAAAATGTAGCTGCCCCACAGTTGCCTGACAGGTCGATGCCAAGAAAAAAGTATGTGAAAACCAGACCACTGAAGAGTCTGTCCACAGACTTCATTTCTAGGGGGAGTTTTAACTGATGATTTACTACAGGAGGAAAAAGAAGATGGGTGAAACACGTTTCCTGTAACTCAGAAATTATTTTGTGCTTCTTGACATGACGATGAGCTTGGAGCCAGACGCAGTGACACACGCCCTGGGATGTTTCCTTCTCACACAGTGAGAGGCCAAGAAAAGGCTCCAGAACAGGAGGAGGTCAGTGACTCTCCAGCCCTCAAGGAGCTGTGGTAAGAAAGCCATGTCAGCACAGTTAGGGAACACCCTCCCCTCTCTACCCAAAGGCAATCTTATCACTAGATTGCGTCCACGGAATATTCAGGAAATTTGGGGAAAATGGCTAGAATGTGGCAAACACACTGACCCCTGTAGGGTCACGCAGGAAGCAACCTGATCAGGACTTCAGTCAGGTTCAGACTGAAGCTGTGTTTTCTTCAAATTCTAGAAAGGATCTGCATGTGGAAAGAGCCTGCTCTTCACACAGGAAATAGCTTTTTAAAATTAAAAAAAAAAAAAGAAAAAAAGAGCTGCTCTAAGTTAGAAGTGAGAAATCTGGAAGGTTCTTATTTATATGATTTTCTGCTTCCTGAGCATTTTTACACATATGGACACCCTGCCAATTTATTAGAATGCTTTCCTTTAAAATTTCATAGAGAAGCCCAGAACTCTTACTGTTATTAAAAAAAAAAAAAAAAAAAAACAACACACGCCCAACCCTACCTGCAAACTCAAAGTATCTTCCCCTAATTTCTCGGTCCTTTCATATTTAAAAAAAAATATCAATTATTTAAAGTGTTTCAAATTGTAGATGGATGGCTGGCAGTTTATTTACTCTTAACCTCTTTGGTATTTTTCTAGAATGGTGCTGTGACCCAAAAGACAGGACAGAAGAATATAAGCAGTGAGTGGATTTCCCTGTCAGGACCCTCCTGCTGACACAGTCATTCTGGACAGAACCCCCCGGGCAAGTGAGGGAGCACCTTTCTCAACAAGGTGGAAGAGCCAAGCTTCCTCAGCTCCCAGTGGGTCTGGTAACAGTCAGCCTGGTGCCACCAAAATGCTGCTGATCCAGCCAAACAGCAGCTCGAAAATGTCCCTGCAGCGAGACTGTTTCCATTCACAACATCATGAACACACCAGGAATCCCCACAGGAAGGAGACACAGGAAGGGTGGGTGTGGCTTCGCTGAAGACTCAGCAAGGCCCACGTCTGTGGGCTCCCAAGCTACGCTGCCTCCTGCTTAAGTGCCCTTCCCAGGCCTGCAGGCCTAGCTGTGGGCATCAAACACCAAGTATTAGCCTGGAAGCTACTGAAGCACAAATTCAAACCCTCTGATGGCTACACTCTGGGTCCACACCTCTACTTCAACCACATGAAGGTACTATGATGTGGCCAAGGTGTGAGGGCCAGGCACGTTTACCCATACATCTGATGGATGCCAGGGACCACCGGAAAGTCCCTCTACAGGGACACGTTTCCAGAAATGGGTATATTTTGTGTAAAGTCAGCCTCTGTCAAATACTGTGCCAGGGCCCAAGTAACATACAAAGCAAGGAGGATCACATTGGAATTATCCCCTAAGTAGACCCCTTCTCGAATGTGTTGCAGGCTGGGGATTAGCAAGTCCTGGGGAACAGAAATGAAACACCTCCAGGCAGGCTAAGCTCAGGCTTCCTTTGAAGATGTGGCTGAGTGCGTCGTGCAGAGGACATGGTCACACACAGGTAAGAGGACACCTGGCAGTGGGTGTTGACCCTGCAGACAAGAGTCCGAGTCCACCCTGCATGCACTGAGACCATGGAAACAACACGAACAGCTTACACACACCAGGGAGGTGGGTGTACCCAGACCAGGGCCTGCCTCTCTTCTAAACTGGGAACGTCTTATTCCGGAACGTGCCAGATTCAGTCTGGGATTTTTTCCTAAATACAAAGAGTTCACTGGAATTAGTCAATCTCTAAGCTTTCTGTATCTTCTCTACAATATCATGGTGTGAAAAATAGGAAGTTATTTATGTTTGGATGTTTCAAGTAAGATCAAAGCTAACTGATTTTTCCATGATGAAGAAGTCTCACAAATATGACTCTTCAACAGTACAGAAATGTGCATATACTGAAATGTTCAGAATGAACAAAAATTTATCACAGGCTCTTATGCCAGAGGCCAAGGGGACCAGTGAAAGCCTCGTGACAATTTTACCTGTAGGGAGTCCTCCTACTCTAGCTTTGCTGGCATCTTCATTAACTGCTGGCATATAATTAATTTTCATGTGATTGTATTTACATGAGAACATCTGCCTTCTTTTAACTAAGGGACACATACTCAGAGAAGCACCAGGGCCCGGGAAACAGGAGCTGGTGGCAGCTGTTAATATGAAAGTTGGCAAGTTTTGTTTCTTTGGAAACATTTCATGGGCTGATTAACTTTTGTAAATAGTCTGGAAAGCCAAGATAAAAAATAATGAAGACTAGTTCCACAGCCTCCTGACAATAAAGTGCCATTCGCATCCCTCTTGAAAGGAGATGCTAATAAAAAGTCAGCCCAGCTACAAGGACATTCTAAAATGTGGCACCTTAACCGCAGACCAGAGACATCCCGTAGGGAGGAGGAGGGAGAGGGATCAGGACCGGGGTGGGACGAGCACAGGGGACTATGGTGATGGTGCACGGGTGAATGGGTGGTGGGAATTTCAAGAGGAAATCATACATTGTACAAAAATGAAGGATGAGGTAATAAATATATTTAAAAAAATAAGTAAATGAGTTAATGAATAAAAAGAAATAAATAAAATGCAGCGCCTCAGCCTAAACTTTTCATCACCGAAACCTCTATTTGGATATTCATCCCTTGGCCACAACGGGCACCTTCACACCAACACCAAAGTCACAGGTGGGAACAGGTCCCACTAAACAGACTGGAGACAAACAGGAGAGAAATGTCATCAAGGAGGAGAAAAAAAATGATTACCATTATTTTTCCTGGAAATTTCTGGCAAGTCTGACTGGCATTGAGGTGAATTTCTGGGTGAATGGTTTTCAGGTAGTTTCTTAGAGGTCTTCAGAGGACAGAGCTCTCCCTGGAGCTCTGCTATGTTTTCTGAATGTTTAAGGTCCGTTTCCTTAGGAAACATACATGTCTGTATTCCCTCCTTCATGTGACATTCTGAAGAAGGATTGTTGGCAGCAATGGCGGTTTTCAGTGTGTTTTCTTCTTTATTCAGTAAGTTCTTGGGAAGGGTGAGGTTCTTCTGCAGGTTGATGTTGATGCCACTGGTATATCTGAAGTTCACCCAGCTCTCCCCAGTCACCTCGGCACACGTGTCCTCTTTAGCAGCCGCCAGGGAGCTGCCCAGCGCCAAGGCCTGTTTCTCCTCGGCCGTGGCGCTGGCTCCGCTGGTGGCGGACGTGCTGCTCCTGTGCTTACTGTAGTAGACCGAGCACTTGTGCTTCTTCTGGGAGTGCCCATAGGTCGCCGGGCTCCTCCTGGCGGCGTTCTGGATCCTGCTCTGCGGGGTATTGACCGGAAGGCAGCTTTTCCCTCTGACTTTATCAGAGGGGCTGTAGGTGTCAAGAAAGCTCTTGCAATTGCTTCTGAATTTAAAAAGGAAAAACATTTACTATATAAAGGCAAACCAAGTCATATCCTACTTCACTGTTGAGAAAGAGGTGGCCATCAGTTCTGTGTGGATGAAGGTGTCTTACCTTTCCTTCTTTTATTTCAAATGTTTTTATTTATTTTGTGTAGAAGAACTGGGGTGTAGGCCAGAGGAGCCGGGGGTGGGGGAGAGGTTTCATCAGAGACAGAGTGGGGAGCAGAACAGGAAGAACTACTGAAATATACTGCTGAGGGGAGCTGGGGGCGAGACAGGAGAGGTCTACTGTGGCTTGTGGGTCAGCTCCCTAACCAGGGATTGAACTCAGGCTGTAGCAGTGACAGCGCTGAGACTAAACCCTGAGGCCACCAGGGAGGCCAGGACCTTCTTTTCCGTCTTCTAAAGTGGCATGAGTTTATAAACTAGGTCCTACCCTGGACTTGTCATATATGGGAATGTGTGACAGCTGCCGCACAAAGACTTAAAGAAAATTTTATGAAAACAGCTTTGGAATCAAAATTTATGTTACCTTAAAATAAAATGAGAGGGCCTCCCTGGTGGCGCAAGGGGTTAAGTCTCAGTACTATGAAGCTACCCGCTGCTACCGTAGCATGAGTTCTCTCCCTGGCCAGGGCAGTGACCCACATAGCACAGCAGACTTTCCTGTCTTGCCCGCTGTTCCTCTCAGCAGTGTATTTCAGTAGATCTGCCTGTTCTGCTCCCCACTCTGTCTCTAGTGAATTGTTTCATCCCCACACCTCTAGCCGGTACCCCAGTTCTTGTATGCATAAATAAATGAATCTTTATAAAAATAAAATCAGAAGTGAGCAATAGCAAAGATGAGAACCCTCCTGGACACCACACACATGCGCACACATATACATCCCCCAAAATTCTTACTTGTGAGGATGGGCGCTCATTACATCCATCGTACTACTGCTTTGCTGTGAAGAGGAGCTGGCATTTTGCCTCTGCCTTGTCTTCATGAATTCCATTAGGATGTACTGTGCTTGTTGGAAGGCTATTAAAATCACACCCAACAGGGACAAACTGAAGAAGAAAGCAACAAGGTCATTCCTTCCTGCTTTGGACTGACACCAAAAAGTCTGACCCTGACAGAAGAGCAGTGAGTGGTTGATGGGGAACATCCCTTAAGATACACATCATCGGGCCTCCCCTGGTGGCGCAGCGGTTGAGCACTAGGCTTCGAGGCTGCCCGCAGCCTGTGCAGTGCCAGTTTGTTCCCCGGCCACCGGCGAGGGTCCCACAAAAAAAAAAAAAAAAAGATACATGTCATCATAACTATTGATGCTTCTCAAAGATTATTTAAAAAATCTAAGTTTCTAAAATGGGCATATTTATAAGTCAACATTCTAGTTCCACTTTTGAAGGCACTTCCAGAGGAAACCCCACTGAAAGAGTCGCTCTAGTCTCATCTCAGCGCGCCACTGCACTAAGCTGCAAGAGTGATGTGTACATCTTCCACCACAGAACCCCAGGAGGAGCAAGGAGCACGGGCATCTGCGACACCTCTCGGTCCCATGACTCTCTTACAATGTGTTTGCAGCTATCCTGATGTTGGCCAGTGACTCCTCTGCCTACTTCATGTGTGCCAGGATCCTCAGCGACATGTAAATTCTGTCCAGTTCATATACTGTGACGGTGCTGGGGAACGATATGGCTTCTCCACCCAGTAAGGGAAGAGTGAAGAAGGTGGGATTGAGTGTACCTGACAAAGAAGACCGTGAGCTTCCAAAACGACTCCTCCCAGCTGGGACCGGGAACCACATCTGCACACAGAGGCAACAGGTGATGCGGGAGGGTCACGTTGAGAGTGAAGCGAAACTCCAGGTCCGCCGCGGTTACCAGAGTCAGCTCCCGGATGACCCAGGAGGAGGTAAAGTCCGGAGTAAACCTGACAAAAGATTCATCTTTATGAACCTTAATTGTTTCAGCTCTAAGCACAAAAAGATAATCATAACAGCAGCAAAATTTCTTACTTCTACAAGATAAACAACTAAAGATGTCTTAACAATGGAAAATGTTCCCTCTCCCCATATTATTAACTACATCACAAAATTTAAACTGGATGCTTACACAATGCTGATATCCCGGGAAGTGTTTGGGTCGAGGGAAAACTGATGACAATCTAGCACTTCGAATCCATAACCTTGGCAATTATACCCATTAATTCTCAGGGATGTCACAGTGAGCGGAAGCGGTCCAATATTCTCAACCTTGAAGTTCTTTGTAATTGATAAAATTTGCTTGCTGTCTTTCAGTTCTAGAGTGGACAAAAGTGATATTCAGTATATACACACTGCAAAATTTATTCAAAATATTTTATTGAATCAATAAACCATGATCTATGTTATTAAAATTTTAAAAATCCAGTAAACTTCAAAGATTTTGATCTAGTTTCTAGACCAACGATAGATCCTGTTCTACTACCAGAATATAATAACTAGCCAAGATTTTCATTGAGACAATCTGCATAGGTATGAATAATAATCAAAATCTTTCCTTTGTTCATTTACTTTTTAAAGGTCATATTTATGCTTCTCAGACGCCAAATAGTTTGGGTTTACCAGGAGACACCATGGGTCTAGCGCCTGGAGCCCTCACGTTGAACAGGGACCAGCTAAGAGGGTCTGTAATTTCATCACTGCTACTGGAAAATCAGTTTAAACACCACTAGTTAAATCCCTGAAAACAAGTGAATCACATTTTATATTGGGAAGAAGAGTCACCATAATTGTTAAATGTCTCTCCTATTACATATGAACTCTAATAGTTTATCTGGTCCGAGACCTTTTAAATTACTTCTTAATTTTATTTTTCAAGGTCAACTAAAATATTGAACGAATGAGAGAAAAAAATTATTCTGAATTTGAATTCCAGATAGTTAATTTTTTTTTTTAATTCAGGGGTCATTTGGCAGAGCTTTCTTTTAAAATAAAAATGTTAGTCAAACACCAAGATAGCAATACAAATTATTCTGTAGTTTCGCCAACCTGCCTGCCTCACAGAAAAAATTACAGCACTAAGACACCTTCAAGTGTTTTCTTGAAGTTAAAAACAGTAACAGGAAAACAAGACAGAACTGAACAAAAACATTTCACATTTATTATTTGATTTTAATTTTCTGAGGTCCTAGCAGCTAAAAAGTAGTTTTAAAATATTAAATTTAAATACATGCATAATTAAGAAATTTCCAAGGGAACACTGAAATAAGTTTCCAAATCTGTAGTGTCTGAAAGAATGGCCACCAGACACCCAGCTCCATACATTTAAATTAATTAAAAAAAAATAACACTTCTTCTCCTAGTCATATTAGATATATTTTAGAAGCTCATTACCACTTTATGGGATGACACCAACACAGAACATCCCATCATTGTGAAAAGTCCTATTCATTAGTACACCTTTCCTTTTCTCTCCTTTATTTTGGTGTGGCTTTCTATGATTAGGTAACTGAGAACCAAATAAATGGCTTCATACTATTGTATTTACCTTAAACATTTAACACCATACTGGTAATTTTAATCAATTACCATACTGGTAATTTAGCAATGACATCTTTTTCCCTCTAGATCAATCAAGTTGGGTTAAATAGCTAAGGATATGCTAATGAAGCAGTACCCATCTATCCACATCCAAACAATTGCCTACTTCAGTTATCACCATCAACACCTTGAGGTGACTGTAAATTTCTAAGGGAGTCTTCCTCTAGAATCCCCGAGCTCTTGGGCAGCTCCAAGCGTCAGGCCTAGCCCCAGCACTCACGTCGCCGGCAGTCCATCAGTGTCGACTCGGGCACCTTGAAGCGGAGTGACCCTCCCGTGCCAGGAAGCCTCCCGCCCACTTTCAGCAACTCTCTTGCTCCAAACCCTTCCACTCCGATCATGTCGATAACCGTCAAGTTATTTCTACAAGAAAAGAAGAGGATGCAAAGCAGCAGGTGTTACAACAGCGCCCACAGGACTCAATGCACTTGAATGTAAGTATTCTTACCGCGCAAAAACATGCTCAAAGTCTCCTAAAAGAAAGTCAGTTTCAGCAAGGTGCTGTTGAACACAGCAGACTGTCAGCTATTTTTCCATGTTAAAGACAGAAGAAGAGAGTGTGTGTGTGTGTGTGTGTGTGTGTGTGTGTTTGTGTGTGCGCGCGTGTGCGTGTGTTTTCTGCCCTCCCTGACAGGAGCAGGTGAGCTGCTGAGTGAATGAACTTCTTGGAGGGGTGGGCACACACCCCTAACCACACAAATGGGGAAAATGAGGCACAGGGGTAAGGGATGGAGCCTCTCTGCTCAGCCACCATCTCTTCCTATCATGCAACACAGCCTCATCCCCGAAGCCTGAATGAGAGGCACATGTGAGCTCTTAGCTAAAGAGATGATGTCTTCTTGAAAGAAAGAGACTTAGCCAGGTCAGGAAGAAACAGACTCTGTGACAGGGACACACCTACCGGATTAGTATGAGGGAGCTAACTTTTCCATAGTCAGCAGGCGTGAAAACGACCCCGACCCTCCTCACTTCCAAAGGCTGCAGGTGTAAGTGGAGGATGCTGGACCTTGGTTCCTCGGTATGCACACCCTGAAGGCCATCAATAAAAGCAGTTAGTCAGCTCCTGGAGAGCAGGTCTCCGTCTTTGGTGATCGCATCTTAGAGGAGAAGCACAAGCGCTTTTCTTGCAAAGTCCACATGAGACCGTCCTAGTGACCCTGTTGAACTTGTTTCCCGGGCTCGCAGCAGTAAACAGCACCCGAGTCGTGGCTGGGCCTCACAGAGGGGCGGCCCGACACAGGTGCCGGGAGGGCATCTGCTTCCTGGCTTGGATGTGAGTTGAGGCCAAAGGCTTTAAGGCAAAGATGCTCTGAAAGTGAAACATCACTTAGAGAACAGAGCAAATAGCCGGACGCTGCAGGCATCCGGCCACATCAGCATCCACTGCAGGGCCGCCCTAAATTCTCCTTAATATTGAACATATGTTTATACAGAAATCACCTTGATGACATTAAGTTCTTCCAATCAGGAAGCTCTCTGCTCAGTCACATTCCCTTTTAGTCTCTCCAAGATTTCCCACTTCCTTTGAATAAGTCTTGGTCCTAGATTTACATTCAATATTTAGTTCTTTATCACTTCCTCTCTTTCCCTCGCTTTTCTTGCTCCCTCTCATTGGAAATCTACTTCTATTAACTTCTAGTGTTAGAACCATACAGTCTGCACAGTAGTCCTCTTAGCTATGTCTTTAGGTTTTCAGTTTGGTGTACCTTCATTCACAGCTGCCATTTCCCCACTGACTGAAAGAAGAAACAGTGATAGTACTGGGTTCGCTTTCACTGGGATCACAAATGCCACACAGAGCCTGCTTTAGCCACACAGTAATAGCATTGAATAAAAAGCAGCAGGTTTAGGGTGTTAAAACTACTACAACAAGTACAGCACCACCAGGAATGAAATGAAGGTAGATAAAAAGAGGTACATTCTACAAACCTTGTTGAATTGTGAAACGTTATTGTGAGTGAGAAAGATAAAGCTGTAAGGGGATAGTTTGCCCAGGGTCACATAACTAGAAGGTGAAAAAGCCAGGATCCAGAACCTTCAAAGCTCACTCCTAGTGCTCTTAATCAAAGGAACTATACTTCTAAAGGCAAATCAATGCAATAAAAATGTTGGCCTTTCTTTATACACTAAGAGTTTTAATATGATTTTAGGCTAAAGTTCTAAGTGTCTCAAAGGCATGGACCCTGGCCACCCTGTCGATATCATAAATGAACAATGATGATCATTTCCCATATTGCAAAAGGTGTTACCATTCTTGAAAATTCTCAATCACAGTTTTGCCAAATGAGTTACACCATATATTATCAATTCTGAACAGAGTATTTGTGAATAAAATGAATGAGCTTTTTCTTTCTTAGGATTTCAAATTATATGTGACTCAGTGCCAGAGAAGCAAAATAATCTCTTAGAAAGAACAGGACAGTTAGCTAACAAGACAAAACCATCACGACCTAGACTGCTCAAAAGAGAAAGAACTGCCACCAATTTACTTCCATGGTAAATCAGTGTCTTAAAAATCTGCTTTAAAGCTTGCTTTTGATTAGTTTTAACTCCTAGCTGGAGACTGTCATGGTCTCGCTCTTTCTAGAAAGTCATTATCATCTAGAGTCAACAGTGTGTCTTTGGAGAGATATAAGCAGGAAAAAAAGAAAATACCTAGGGCATTTTAATATGTGTTTTAGAAACAGAGTTATATACCTGTGCTGTTTACGTATTTCAGAATACCTGTAAGCAAAACACCCACTACACAAAGAACCACAGAACAGCCAGTGAAAGCTAAGCACAAAGGTTGCCAAATCTCCAGCTAAACCACACCCTCATCACCTGACATGTTTACTTCCTCTGAAAGCACCATCAAGAGCTCCTGCGTGCCAGGAGATTGAGGAATTTCAGGTAAGTTCTTTTTTTATAGATGAGGTGAGTATAACAGAACTTGCTTGACTTGCTAAAAAACATGAAGCCAATTTAGTAAGAGAAGGCTTTTTTAAAATGCATTTGCTTTTACCTCATCTTGCCCTAAAAAGAATTTGATGGGGCTAAGGAATCTGAAGAGAATTATAAATTCTGACATCTCAAGTTTTATGGTTTTCTACGTAATGCTCATTCAATTGTTATTTCTTCACTCACATGAATCTAAATCTTCTAATTAAAATGATTTACAGGCTAACATGAACCAGGGACTCCTGCTGCATTTTAATTGGAAAAACCTGCTATGTAGACTTTATGCCTAGAGAATATGAGAGCCACATATACTTCGTAAATACATTTGAAATATGAATCACTGAGGCCCATAGCTTGTGTGCCTAGTTTCTCAGCTTTCTTTTTTTCTGTTTATAGATGACATCCTACCCGGTAAGGGCAAGCCTTGGTGAGCTGGAATTCACCCGTTGTGAAATTAATCATCTGCATATCAGTGCCAAACCTATAAAGAAAACAAAAATATTTCAAGGAGCAATTCAGTTACCAATAAAGAATGACTGATACACACATGTGAATATTTGTTATTTATTTGTGTTTATATGTGAGCCCAAGTGTTTGCGCACACAAGCAATTCATCCCGTCTGTCCTGCTGCTGTCCAGGCTCTTGCACTGTGCCCGCCATGCTGTAAGTGCTCAGTGTATATTCTTAATGAACTGATTTGGTAGCACAGAATGTGAAAAACTGCATGGTGACAAAAACTCTAAAGATAAAGCTATATCCCCCCTAAATTGTTTGTTGTTATGGAACCTAATACTGTGACTCTCAACTAAGGGAAATTTTATCCCCCAGGGAACATCTGGTGCTCTCTCCAGATGTTTTTAGTTGCCACAGCTGGGGAGGTCTTACAGGCATCTACTGGGGGGAGACAGGGATGCTGCTAAACAGCCCATAAAACACACAACAGTTCTCACACCCCAAAACAGAACGACTTGGCCCCAAATACCAAGAGTGTTGAAGCTGAGAAACTGTGAAAGGGTAGGTCTGTGATGGTTATGCAAGATAAACCAGACATGAACTATTATCATTTTATCTGGCTAAACAACACTAGATTAAAATATATGAAAACACTCATTTCTTGCATTGTCCGAAATCACCATGATTTAGGTTCTAAGTTGTAGGAATATATGCAAAAAAACATGATAGTAAAGATTCTCTGACCCAAGAAATGAAAACTGTGGGGACCTGACCTGACAAGTGACATTGAGGATGGCACATCTCAAACAGAACTGACAAAATTCATCAAGTTATATGCACCGGGGGCTGGACCAGGGCATGGGTTCGTACTGTGTCCATCCTCCTACAGATCGGGGAGGTCTTGAAATAATTCTGAGTCTTCCCAGTGTTCCCCAAACCATCCCTCTGAGAGAGTGCACTGCCTGGGTTCTTACCATTTGTGGAGCAAGCGCACTGCAGCTTCTGGTTTTGGGTACAAGGAGAGAGGCAGAAGCTGCAGGGAGACCAGCAAGGAGGAGGGGTTCTTCACTACGAAGTACTTCACCTAGATAATGGGAGAGGAAAGTCAGTACCCCAGGAAGGATGCACAGTGCTCCTGGCAGGATCCTGAAAAAAGCCTCTAACCTGAGCCTGATCTCAAGACACCCACCCACCACTGAGACGGAGGGATGTTCTGGAAAAGCAATGGTCGGTCCATGCCATGAAAGGCAGAACGGCTCAGGAGCCTGAAGGAGTCAGAGAAGGTCTGACCATGCAATGTGAGATCCTGCACTGGATGCTGAACCAAGAAAAATAATCACTGTCAAGTACATTAGTAAGATAAGTGGGGAAAACCAAAGGTGGACAACAGGTTAGAGGACATGATTACATTAATGCTTCACTTTCTGATTGACCATTATACCCTGATATGTAAGAAGATGCTCTTGTGTTAGCAACTTGACAGCAAAGCAGTAATGTGTCTCAAAGGTGTCAGAATGCAAGTATACGGGGGGGGGGGGGGGCGGGAACGGTGAGGAAAGTGTGCAAATTTAAAAATCTGAGCTTTGTGAAGTCTAGTTGGGAGTTCTTAGTATTACTGAAAATTTCCTCAGTTGAAATCATTTCAAAATTTAAAAAAAAAAAAGTTTAGAAAGTCCTAGGACGTGATCCCTAAGAAACTCCGTGAGTGCCTGATGAGGAGAAATGATAGATCAGGCGGGAGGGCCTCGTGGTGAGAATTAGCAGATGCCACAGATGTCAGGTGATGCCACCGCTTTCCTGATGCCCTTCGTCCTGCTCCCCCTTGGCAAGGAAAGGAAGTCACAGGCTAAGGATGGAGAATGGCCAGAAAAACCCCACACTGCTGACAGGGGCCTGGAGCTACCTCTCTGGCTCTGGACTTATGTGTGGGAGAATCTCATTATAAAACAGACAACCATCCTGTGCAGAGAAATGTGGTTAGGTCCACACTGCCCGCATATACAACGGCAGGCCCTAGGCGCAGCCTGTGTGTGCAGGACGCAGCTCCTCGAGGACTGGGGAAGACCCTCTATGGCATCCACACCAGCACAAAATGGCCTGAGGGTACATTTCTCAGGCCAGGTCCCCAGGCTAAGCAGTGCTCGACTGCTAACTCCTGCCTCAGCCTACATTGGACAATATTCTCCCTGTTGTCTGAGGTTGAAAAGGTAAGATTCTGGTTTGAATCCAAAACTTCATAAAATGTATTGGTCTGATGGGTTTTCACTCTGCTTACTTTTCTTATTTGGTTCTTTTGACACCTCCCTATCCCGAGTGCAGACTGGCACGTGTGTGTTACTTAAAGTGAATTTAAATTATTTGGGGCTCTGAAACATTCTCTCAGGGTGGAAAGACTCTGGCAACTTCAAAGGCCCAGGAGCTGGGGCCACACGACAGGAGGGGACAAGATACACAGTCCTCACCACGCTGTTCCTGAGGGCAGTGGCGCTGAAGTTTAGCACAAGGCCAGGCTTCGAGAGCAAACGAGGCAGAAAGGAGACAAAGACTTCTGACTCCTTGGATTTCTTCAAGTGAGTAAAGCGAGTCATTCCTAGAACAGTCCTCCTATGTAATTGATAAAGAAAGCATGACACACAAATTTCACATTAAAAAGGCAATATTACTCACTAAAATATTACTTACTAAAAGCAAACAGGTTCTTGGAAAAAAAATTCACAGGTCTGGGGAAGTGCAAGATGATCCTGGGACATTTGTTTTGCTTGAAAACAAGGAAGAACTCAAAGAAAGATGTGAATATGCTAAAAGGACCCAATGCTAGCCTGGAGGGGTTCCCACCTGCCAAATCTGGGACATCATAGCATCAAGAGTAATAATGATGCTTGTTGATTTTGATTTTTACTTTGTATTAATTAGTCTTTTTCCTGGTCCCTTATTTAGGTTTTCTAAATTCCTGCTATGACTTATTCTTTCTGACTTATTTTGCTGAGCATGATCCCTTCTAGCTTCATCCACGTTGCTGCAAACTGCATGTGTTAAACCAGAGACACACTATGGGGGGAAGCGGAGAGGAAGGACTAGGGTCAAAATAAGCGGGGGGTGCAATTGTATGGGGAATATAACCAAAATGATAATGCACACATTGTGCAAAAATGAAAAATGATGTAAGAATTATATAAAATAAAATATTAATTAAAAAAAGAGTAATAATGATGGCAGCAGATGACAGCATACTGACTAAGAAACCGGAGTTGGGTGTCCCTGGTGGCGCAAGGGGTTAAGACACAACCTATGAGGCAATCTGCAGCCTCTGCAGCACAAGTTCGATGCCCAGCAGGCCAGGGAGATACCCACATGGTGCAGCAGACCTCTCCTGTCTCACCCGCTACTCCCCTCAGCAGTGTATTTTGGGAGATCTGACTCTTCTGTTCCCTGCTCTGTCTCTGATAAATCCTCCCAAACCACCCCCAACACACACATACACACACACCTCTGGCCTGTATCCTGGTTCGTGTATACATAAATAAATAAATATTTTAAAAAGATAAAGAAAGAAACCAGAGTCTCAAAAAATAACACAGAATGAACAAAATCATTAGAAACATCCCCATTTTTGTAGCCATCACTCTAACTACTCATCAGGGAAGGATTATCCACAGAAGTCAAGTCACAGGAGGAGATGGAAGGTGTGTGCGCCCCCGATCAGGGCTAGATGGCTGACTTACTGCTAAAGGCAGGAGGTGCCACACCTGCCCACGTCACCTAGACCAACACGGCTCAGCGCAGCAAAGCCCACAGTGGCACAAGCTGATGTGCATGTCCCTCCAAGCTGGGGCAGTGGTAAGAACGCAAGCCCAGCCAGGTGACTGGTACGCTTCCCCAGGCGTTTAACATGAATGTAAACTTGAGGACACAATCCGAAAATTCAAGTCTCAATGGTTCTCTAAGACATTTGAGGGGACGCTTTCAAATGTGAATAAGAAAGATAAACCTTGGGGAACAATGATGAAAAGAAAGTTAAAGAAACGTGATCCAAGGCAATACCTCTTGAATGGATTCTGAATTAAAGGAAACTTTTTAAAAAAAAAAAAACTGTTTTGGGGAGGCTCCCCTGGGTGCAGGCGGTTGAGCGCAGCGCTGTGAAGCTGCCCGCAGCCTCTGCAGCGCTGGTTCGATCACAGCCGGCCAGCGAGGTTCCCACCTGGCGCACCCACTGCTCCCCTCAACAGTGTATTTCAGTTAGTCTGCCTATTCTGCTCCCTGCTCTATCTCTGGTGAATCCTCTCACCCTCCCGCGAATCTGGTCTATACCCCAGTTCTTGTATAAATAAATAAATAAATCTCTAAAAAAAAAAAAAACCAGCTTTGAAAGTACATTTCGGGGTCAGATACGGAATTGTGAATATGGACTGTGTATTAAATAATACAATTAGATCAGTGTGAAGTTTGTTGGGTTAAGTAATGGCAGTGGATTTCTATGTAGGAGAATACCCTTCTCAGGAAATAAAGTATTTATTTCCTAAAAAAGTATTGAGTTGGAAGATTATGAGATCTATAGTTTGCTTTCCAATGACTCAGGGAAAAAAATTGTGTGTGTGCGTACTTGGATAGAGAGACACAGAGAGAAATAAAAGCAAATGTGATAAAATGTGAACAACTGAAGAATCAGATGAGAAATAATTATTCAAAATTCAGTACGGCATCATGTAACGGTGTCCCCCCAATGCTGAACAGAAGTCCTGAAGAAAGGTTGAAGACTTACTTGCAGACATCACCATTTTTAAATTTCTTCCACCTCTCATACAATTTATTTGCAAGTTCAGAATCCACATCCCAGGTAGACCAATTCAGAGAAAGGCTCCTTTCCCAATTAGGATTTTCTAAAAGTTAGAGCAGAGTTGATCTTTAGGTTTACAGAAAACATAATCCAACAGAAATTAACACCAAGGGCTGATTGTTTAAGTTTCTCCAAAGACGACCGTAGAGTAATAAATGCCCCTTTCCCCTGCTTCACTGTCAGTCCCTCTAACTTGATGGCAAAATGATATATCAAATCAAACAAACATGTATAAAACAAAACTAAACTGAATTATGTAAAGGTATTAACATAAAAGACACATGGCTCATGAATACAGCCTGAAACAGGTTAAAATTATACTTGGTACATTTTTAAAAGCTTTAAATCTAAAAGGTGGCATCACCAGGCCTCCCCCCGGTGGCGCAGTGGTTGAGCGCTGGGCTGCGAAGCTGCCCGCAGCCTCTGCAGCACTGGTTCGATTCCTGGCTGCCAGCGAGGGTCCCACATGGCGCGCAGACCTCTCCTGCTGCGCCTGCTGCTCCCCTCAGCAGTGTATTTCATCAGTCTGCCTGTTCTGTTTCCCGTTCTGGCTCTGGTGAATTCTCTCACCCTCCTGCGCTTCTGACTGTACCCAGTGCTTGTATATATAAATAAATCTTTTAAAAAAATAAATACATAAAAGGTAGCATCACCATCTCGGTCTCCAGGCTCACTCAGTGGAGCACTGACAAACAGCCATCCTAAAAAAATCAACAGAGACCAGCCAGGCCTGGAAAAGGTGCAGGTTTGTAACCTGGCAGCCTCTTATCTTGCCCCCTCTGCTCTGTCTGTACTAGAGCCTATCATGATGGAAACATGGGAATCTTCCAGAAGAAATCACTATACTACCCTTAGATTTCATTTCCTTAAGTTAAATATCTTAAAGATAAAAAATCAGGGGAAAATAGCTTCTAGATCAATGTGACAGCCTTCAGTCTCACACTGCTTCCATCCTGGTGAGATGTTTATGCTCCTGTTACTAAAGTCTCCAAATGCAAGTCCAAACTGTTTATACTAACCTGTAGTCAGTTCTTTTATAAAATAACTAAAACCTTCCAGTGTTTTCTGGGGAAAGGTTGCTCTGATGATCCAACAGTGTGTTTGGCAGAAAAAAAAAAAAATCCCTTATAAAAATACAGGCTACTTAAGGGGACATTATTTACACAAGTACTTCAGATGTGTTTGGAGGATTCGTGACAATTTCAATTCGTTCTGTTAATGATCATACTCTCCAACAACAGAGTGGTGCACAATTATGTTCAGGGCACTAATTATCCCACCTACAAATGCTATTTTTCCTCACTACTTCCCACGCAACCCCAAACTAGAATTCTATAGAAAGCCTAAGGTCAAAATACTTACCTGCTTTTGATTTTCCCATGAAATAATGCATGCCACAATGTGCTATCACTTCAAAACCCAGACTCCCTTCCTAGATTGAAAAGTAATATATGAATAACTTAAAATACAACACTACACATAAAAATCCTAATGCACTCAAATGTGAAGCAGACACTGGCCATCTCAGTGAACTTCCCTTCAACCAAAAACCAAGTAACTAGAAGGTAAGGTCCTGGTTTCCTTTAGCCTCAGATAAGAGCTCTGCACGCCTGTCACGGCGAGGTCAACCAGCGGATTCTGTACAATCACCAATGCCGGTAACTACAATCGTGGGTTAAAGAGATACCCAGATGCCTTCTGAGTTAAAGATTAATCTGAGGACATTCTTAGTGGGTGATTTTTTTTTTTAAACACCGTACTCTAATCCTCTGAGAAACAGTATGCCCATCTATGCTAACACCTGTCACTTGGATACTTAAATTAATGTGCCATTTCTGACAAGTCTGGAAAACACAGACTTGCCACTCTCGCCCGTCCTAGAGCCTGCCTATCTGCCTGCTCCCTTGTGGGGTCACTCACTCAGGCATCTCTTGATGGGAAAAGGGACATTTCTAAAAAATCTCTTCATCTTAAAGTATAGGTGAGTGGAACTAACCTTGCATTTTGCTAACTTTAATTTTATTAACTTTCATTTCAGAAGTTTTATCTTTAAGTCTATAGCTAAACACAAGGCACTTCTAACTGTGAAAACATCAACATTCATAAGTGAGAAAAATCATAAAGATGGTTGCATGAATGTCTCCTAGTGAAAAATTAGAATCCAGCGTCATACGGAGTAGCTTAGGTCAAAAAGACGCAGTAACAGTAACTAAATTAAAAGAAATAAACATTAAGAAAAAAATGAGACGGTTTGAGATAAGATCTGAACTACACACAATTTGCCCAGATTTTTAGAAAGCTTTTTCTTAACTGAGAACCTCTCAGTCTCAGAGTTGACCCACTAAGGAAATTCAAGGATAAAGAACAGTTGAGAGTCACTTACCAGGGGTCTAAAGAAAGCATTTAACAATCTAATTTACTTGAAGTCATTGCAAATATGTACTAAAAACTTGACTGTTTTCTATAGCAAGCACATGCTCTTTGCTCTATAAATTTTGGAAATAAATAAAAATGAAATCAATCTACTGGAAATACTTTAGGTCATTCAAGAACCTCAAATTACTTTATGAAAATCAGAAACTCTTTCCAAAGATTTTCATAGCCAAACAATTTATCGTCTAAGACTGGCCTAGTTATATTCTTCAATTTTTTGGACAGCCTTAAAAAACATGAGCTTATTAATTTAGTCAATGAAACCCAAACATAAGACAACTTAATAAGAAGAAAAAACAGCAATTATTACAAAAACTGCATCACACATAGTGTTGTAAAGAATACCTTAGTCGGTGCAGAGTAAATCTGTAGAGGTATTGCAAAAACAGCACCTATGTTTGTAGTCAAAAATACATGGGTAAACAGATTTATGGCAATGTCTTTAACAGCAAGTTTCAAAGAAAATATATTCCAACAGCCTGGAGGTAGAAATAAAGGGCCAGTGAAATTCAGAATCTAAAAAGAAAAGAAACAAGAGAAAGTATGATTAAAATCATTATAAATTATGATACATTCAAGTTCTCCTATACTTTGAAAAACAGAATATTACTCAGGATGATTTTCAGGTCAAAGATTAAAATGCATTTATATTTAAGTGAAACATTTTATACTTCAAATTTTTATATTCCAAATACTATTTAATAAGCCACTATTTTCAAATTTCACAAAAGTAATCATGAAATTTTCCTAAGTGGCATTTCGTAAGCATCTGCTATTTGATAATGAGTCAGGCTTATTTTTACTAAAAACAACATTTTTAGCATAAATCCTACATCATAATATTTTTGAGTAATGGAAAAACCAAATGTCCTTAAAGGACAGGTCCTGGTCCCTCTGACCACTTTGAAACATGGCTTTGAAAAAGGGAGAGTGATCCTAAACGTAATTCTGAAAACATTACAAGAAAAAATATTTGTTTTAAGAATCACCTTTCAAAATGAAACACTACAAATACTACTTTCATAGCACTCGACCTTCCACAAGGCCTAAAATAGAGCAAAAGGTGGATGGAAACACCCTCTGTACCTTCACGATGTGCCTGGCTTCCTTGGAAACAAACACATGATTCACTACAAGGCGGCGGTCAAAATGGTTGCGGTACCATATGGACCAAACCCCGGAGGTGTTCTCGTGAGTCTCGAGGAGAAACTGGGCTGCGGAGGGGTCCATTCTAAAATACCTGTGAACACAGGGCGTGTACACCTAAGTGTGAGAGCACCATTGGCGTGAAACACCAAAGGCAGGCGGCGCTGGGAAGCTTCCGCGAGGCCAAGAACCCTCTTTGACCCACTTGTCCCCAAGTAAAGCATCCGAAAGCTGGAGGGGAAGTGACCTGCCGAGGCAGCTCAGAGGCCACCAGAGCAAAACTGAGGACCTAAATGCACCTCAAAATCCAGAAACCCAGTATAAGCACAGAATTCCCTATACCTGGCTGCAGGGCCCAGAGTCTGCTTCACACACTAAACCACTTGGGGCCAGGATCGCACCCTCGCACGGCCCCTCCATCACCTGAGCCATGCTGGCTATAAAAGAACTACCTAAATCCCAGAGAGCACCATGCAAACCCTATCAGTTATTCTTTTAAGTAGTTCCCAGACGGAAAAGCAAAAACACTCATTTCCAGGAAATGGGGTGAACTTACCCTTGGACCACAGGCGAGGAGAGGCAGGCTTTACGCGGGGGAGTGCTTTTGGTTTTCTTCACATCTTTAATTCCGCTGTCACAGGATGTAGCTGTTTGAGTGACAGAGAAACACAAGCAAAGGGTAAGGAGCATGTCTTTCTTTATGCCTGAATAAAAGCGAGATCTGGGGCTTATCGGGAACTTCTTAATTACTGCGCTTCTCTCTGCATCCATTAAAAACGTGCATCAGCTAATAATGGTAAAATCCGTTCTCCAACCCTCCTATCTATTTTTGTCTTTACTGGCTGATTGCCAATGACCCCCTCCCCTCTCTTAAACCAACCTCTCATTTCTTCTTGGGGTTGGGGAGTCAGTATGTTGTGGCTTTCCTTTTACACAGATCTGTATTCCCCATAAATAAGCAGAGACACTTAGGTCTGCCAAGATGACAAAAATGAAAACGGAAACTGAGCTACATGGGGTGGAGGGACAGGAGGTGGCTTGAGCAGGAAGAGAGTACCTCTCGAAGGCAAGGAGGTGCCTGGGGTCACAAGTGGCCCATACCCCAAACAGTATGTGCAAGCTTTCCTTGAGCTGGGTCACAATATTAAATTTCCGGCACTGAATTTGAACTCTGATACTAACACCCCACTCTCTTTAATAAGCTCTATAGATGGTTTCTCCTAAAATTCAAACACTAACAAAAATTGTAAAGATGAAGTCTACCTTTCACCCCCTGACTTCCCAATGATCTGAGACAGAGGAACTGCAAGCAGAGTTCTGAGCATCCTTCTAGGCCTTACATGCACATACAAGCACAGAGATCCCCATTCAGTGACCCCAAATGTCACTGAAATGTCAGTGTTTACATGCCATTCCCAAGGCTGCCCTTCCTATGGGCTACAGAGCACTCCCCATGCAGGTGAAGTGGAATGGAAGCAGTGTCCTAGCTAATCCGTGAATGTTTACACAATTCTGTTGTCAAATGATGTACATTTCTATGAGTATCTCTACAGATAAGTTGCTAGAAGTATAGGAAAGCACTAGAGAGCACACGTGTACATTTGAAATTTTTAGTTTGTATCAGTTTATACTCCAAGATCCTGTATCAGCTTATGTTCTTGTTTAAAAAAAAAAAAAAAAGAGTGTTTTTTTTTCCTTCCAATCCAGTACTGAATGCTTTAGTTAGCTTTTCCTTAAATATAAGTTGGGGGGGCCTCCCCTGGTGGCCCCAGGGGAGTTGGCAGTTGGGCGCAGCACCATGAAGCTCTCCGCAGCCTCTGCAGCACCAGTTTGTTCCCAGCCGGCCAGCAAGGGTCCCACACAGCGCGGCAGACCTCTCCTGTCTCGCCCGCTGCTCCCCTCAGCAGTGCATTTCATCAGTCTGCCTGTTCTGTTCCCTGCTCTGTCTCTGGTGAATCCTCTCACCCTCCCGCAAATCTGGCCTGTACCGGTTCTTATATAAATGAATAAATAAATCTTAAAAAAAAAAATATACAAGTTGGGGGATGGAGGAAGGGTTTGTATGTTCAGAATCCATTCACATGTCTATGCAGAACTCCTTTTACCTGTCAGTAGGAAGCCAGCGCTAGGACTGGGTTCATCTACCACGCACTCTGCACTCCACACAGAAAAACAAGGCAGACCCTCCACGAATGAGTCTTAACTTTCTGGTTAGCAAGCTTTGCACTTCTACAAAGTTGGCATCAACAATCATAATTTCTACCATGAGGCCTCACTGGAATATTAAGACTGCGGGGCTGAACCATACCCATTCTTGTTCTTTCAGCTTCATCTGCTGTTGCAAGTCATTTCATATAAGTGCCATCCTAACTAGCACACAAAAATTAAAAGATGATCTCCGATATTTAAAAAATCTGTACCTTTGCAAGTAAAAGAGGCAATTTTTGTAAAGTTTGTTGTAGAAGTAGGGAGGAGAACTGGTTCAAACTGCAGAGACACAGCATCCCTCTGTGAGGAGTGACGTACATCCTAGAACAAAAGAAGCCCACATTACTACTCCCAGAGGGGAGAACGGGTATCCAGTTTGAGTCAACGCTGTTAAAAGGATTGTCTGGCTCAGGTTGGAGTCACAGTGCGGCACAGCAGATGTGTCTGTGACTGGGGTGGGGGGGGCTGACAGCCCTGATCCAAACAGGGGAACAGGGTTCAGTAAGAGAACAGACACAAGTGTTTCTCTATCTGTTCTTAAAAAACCCTCAGCTCTGCAACTACATACACACTTAATGCTGAAAATGTACTGGGTGCAAGCATTTACCATTACCTGGATCCATATAAGGCTGTTTCCTGAATGTAATATGTACATATTTACCGTGGAATCATCTGTCAAAAAGAACCAGAACAATGAGATTAAAACAAAGAGCCAGCTCATCTTCACACTTTAACACAGTAGTTAAAATATCACAGCACATATTTCAATTTAAAAAATTGTAACTTCTTTCTCAGCACTGCAACGGAAACAAGGATTTATTTCTATTAGGTCTTCTTCTAAGTCATAAGAAAAAGCACCCTTATAAAAAAAAAAGACTGATCTAGGGCCTCCCCGGTGGCGCAGCGGTTGAGCGCTGGGTTGCGAAGCTGCCCACAGCCTCTGCAGCACCAGTTTGATCCCGGGCCACCGGTGAGGGGCTCACATGGCGCACAGACCTCTCCTGCCGCCCGTTGCTCCCCTCAGCAGTGTACTTCGGTCCTTCTGCCTGCTCTGCTCCCCGCTCTGGCTCTGGTGAATTCTCTCACCCTCCCATGCTTCTGACTGTACCCAGTGCTTGTATAAATAAATAAATAAATCTTAAAAAAAAAAAAAAAAAAAAAAAAAAAAGACTAATCTACCCAGCCAGGCTCTCTCAATGATGAACTGCCAGCCGAGAAGGTCTGAGTGTGGGGTCACACTACTACAGCTCAAGGTGAAACTAACCAGCTGGACAGAGTAAAAAAAAAGGCCAGGCTCTCTGCTGACCAGCAGCCCCTCATTTCCTTATTTACAGAACCACACTTAGGAAAAACGAAACCCTTGAATTTCAAATACAGTCTTCCTTTCAACCCTCACCAGCAGAAATTCTCCTCAGGGGCCTGGGCTCTTCTCTACATTGATGGCCACCTGAGGACAACCAAAAACTATGACCCCAAGAACAGAAAAGTTCTGCTGCTGACCTAGCAGGACTATGACCAATTCAGAGGGCCAGAGAGGAAATGAATTGTGACTGCCAATTAAGACTGCCGATATGAAGCTGTATTTTGGTACCATTTATTTCTCTGAATAAATATATATGTAAATACACACACACACACACACAGATATGAATGTAGCAGGACAGTCTTGATAACCATCAGATAATAGCAAGCTCCACATGACTAATGTCATGGGTCATATATGTGTCTCCTACAAAAGTTCTTAGAAACTTAAACTGATGAATTGGGTTATTCTTGGTAAGCAAGACACAATTTTCAAAGACAAAGTTCCTTGAAATGAACTCTAAAGCTCACATTACCCTGTCTTGTCAGGTAACCAGAACAACCAGCATCCAAACATATTGAAAATGCAAAACAAGTAAAAATCAGAATCAACAGGCCAAGTATAAACAAGAGGCACACTATGGCAGGGGCGGAGGGAGAAGGGAGTAGGATCAATACAAGGGGGGGGGGTATTTTACTGGGACTATAACCAAGATGAAAATGCATACATTGTACAAAAATGAAAAATGATTTAAAAAATTGCAAAACAGCCTGATTTAGTCCCCTGAGCATCTGCAAATCAGTAAGATGGGAACAAAGGACACAGGACTTCAGCTGCCTCATGAATATTTCCATTAGGCTGCTCCCCATTTCATTTGTTTACTATCTTCAGAACACGAGGAAAAGATTTCCAAGGAAACTCAGAATAGTCTGCAACTGCCACTTAAATGACTTCAAAATAACACGGCCTTCCTGGCAGTGTCAGGCTGAAAAGCAGTTGCTCTCTCCACCTTGTAAGGCCAGGCCCCTAGCTGTGGACAGCGAGGACACACACGAACTACAGGTAAATGCTAGAGCCAGCTCATCAAAATAAACGATAATGACAAAACTGTAAAGAGTCCACCTACCTGAGGTCTCAGATTTCTCTGTAGCTACGTAAACAATAGAGAGATGATCTAACAAATCTTGTGTGTTTTCTTCAAACTCTTTTGAGGAGTTTTCCATTGTTACAATTATGCTCATTTGTAATCGCAAAACATCATCAGATTCCAGATAACAACTCTGAGATTGGAAAGATGGGGGAGGGAAGGAAAAACTCAAAAAGTCATCTCAACTCTGAGTCTGGATTTAACAAAGAGGAAAGATTTAAGGGAAGGGCATGTGTATATCTGAGAAGAGAATGGGCTGTTTTATATTTTATTTCTGAACAAAGACACAGAAAAGAAGGCAGGGAGGAAACACTACATTTTCCACTTTACCTTTAATTGCTGACACACTTTATTATGTAAACTGCATTCCAGTTGCACCTGCAAGAGGCTAGTATTAGTGGTTTCCACCTAAAAGAAGAAAAAAAAGAAAGGGAGAATTTAAAAAGGAAGGAAAAGGCTCAATCTAGCATTAATAGTAAACAATCTATCACTTATTCAGAAATGAACTTGATCCATTAATTTTATTCATTCAAAAAATAGTTCAGTATTTTTGCTAGGTATTATTCGATTTACTGGAAATACAACAGAGAGCGAAACGAAAAAAAATCTGTCGCTGAGCTTACATCCTAATGGAAATCATCCGCTCTCCCCTGGGTAACATGAAAATTCCTATTATGGCAAAAAGCAGTTACAGATGTTCTAAATATACACAAGGACACTGGCTTTTGGCATTTCTTACACTTTTTGAACATGTTGTTTAAACATAAGAATCTACTTTGAAAGTGGGTTCACCCAGTAATAGCCAACTAGTTGTTTTCATGAGTGTCTTCCATCGGCAGAGTGGCCTTCCATGCCATGACAAAACCAAAAAGGGACATCCAAAATGCAACTGGCCATCATTTTTAATACATGGAAGAACTACAGAGGACAGGGACAAAGGTCTAGGAGAAGAATGCAGAATTTTGTCAAGGTCAAAGATTACCTGGGATGATACTGACCAACCTGAAAGACCAGGAGAGTCAAAGGCCACCAAGGACATGGTGACCTGGTGGGCAGGTGGGGTTCACTAAAATGCTGGTGGTGCAGCACATGAATCTAAAGGACCTGGGCCATGGGGCCTCCCTGGTGGTACAAGGGATTAAGCACAGCACTGTGAAGCAATCCGCAACCTCCGCAGCATGAGTTCGATCCCCAGGCAGGGAGGTGACCCACATGGTGCAGCAGGCCTCTCCTGTCTCACCCCCTGATCCCCTCAGCAGTGTATTTCAGTCAGTCTGCCTGTTCTGTTCCCCACTCTGTCTCTGCTGAATCCTCTCACCCCCCACACCTATGGCCTGTACCCCAGTTCTTGTATGCATAAATAAATAAATCTTTAAAAAATTAAATGAAAGGACCCAGGCCAGGTGATCACTTTGCCGTCCACATCCTGATTATAAAAGGCAGTGTGGGGCAGTGAGGGGCCATCAGGACCCCTGGGCAGCACGAGACATGCCCACACCATAGCTGCCTTGACTGCGAATATTCACTCCAGGGAAGGTGGTATTAAGCAGAGTCCCAGTTATGTTTACTACATTAGATTTATCAGAATTACCCAAGTACATTTAACAAAAACACATTTTTAACTATTTCAGTTGCCATTGAGGGGGGAAACAAAGAATAGCTCCACTTTAAAATGCAGTAAAAATATTTAAGGAGTTTAACCAAGCTTGTAAACAGGACCAGACATTAAGACTCTCTTAACAAATTGCTGCCTGGATCTGCCAGGCTTAAAAAGAATCATCTCATTTGCAAACTGAACTAAGCTCCTAAGGAACAACTGGAGTTTTAAATGCTTCTTTCTGTGGGTGAGGCCACCATGAGAGATAATAATAAACAGAAAGAGGCACTACTCTCTGGCATTGTTTTAATCAAAGTCATACAAGACCTCTCATGGCCAAATGCAAGCAAACCTCTCATTTGGCCTGATCCTTCTGCCCCACGTAGCACCACTAGCCACTGTCCTTGGTTACTCTCCTTTCTGTCTCGCTCCCTTGCTGGCTGGTTCTTGGGGATACCCTATACCCCACTTTTCAGCCTCTTCACTTTTCTTGAGGAGTTCTCCTGACACGCACTTGTCTTTCACACGCCATCCAAGCACTCCTCATCATGCTGCAACAGTGTGTTCATGGTCTGCCTTCTGCAGGTTTCATTCAAGTCTGACGCTTTTGCCGCAAGGCTGACCACGTAACTGGCCCTCAGTACAAAGCCGGTGATGGGCAAAAGCGGGCACACAACTGCCAATGCTGATAAGCTTGAAAGGGTGAGAGACTAAAACTTATAATAAACAGTGGCTGCAAAATAGAAGATTATATCAAAACCTGATGTGTGGCATGGGCTTCATTCTGAAACTTAGCCCCAAAAAGTTAAAAAAAGAAGCCATAAACATACCTGCAACATATACATTTAGAACTGATGTTTTAAAATTTGAATAGGACTTAACCTGGCAACTATCGTCCCTAAAATATATCTTCAAATGTTGAGCCCATGTTTCAGTTCAAGATTATGATTTTAAACATTAAAAAATCCTATTTGCACAGTGATTTGATGTGATAAAGTCTATTTCTTGTCATTTTTTGTAAATTTCTAGATGGATGAACTTATAATTCACTGCTATAGGATTTTTCTCTTAATTTCTCTTAATTGAAAGCATAACCACAACCTTGCGGGATATATTTCAGGACCCCACAAGGGGGAGTCCCAGCACCTACAAACTACCCCTGAAGCATATGAATCTTTCTCAAAGAGAAATTTAAATGCCGGTGTCTTTCTCAAAAGTACGAAACTATTGTATATTGACTTTAAAAAGGAAAACATAATCGAAAAATGAGCTACTTGGGACAACCACACACATGGGGTTACAAGTACCCCTGAATGAACCCAACCACAGGCCCTGGTTCTGACAGTTATCCAGGAGGATGCTTGGGCAGATTACAAATGAAAAAAGCCTACTTCTCTATTTTTAAATCTCCCACACATTAATTCATAATTATAAACAGTTGATTGATAAATTTTTCAGATGAAAGACTATCTCTATAAACAATTTTAATTCCTTAGCAGTTTTCACATAAAGCATATGTTAAAAATGCATACTTTAAAGTGGGGGGGAAGGGGGGTTGGAGGGGGTTAAGTGACTTATCAGACTTATCAGACTTATCAAATATGCTCATGTCAGTGAGTAGAAAAACAGAAAGAAAAAAAAAGGTCTCTTCAACATGGAGTACTGTTTTCAAATAAATCAAAATCGTCCAAGATTATCCCTCCTGAGCACTTAAAAGCCTAAACACTCTCCAATGTGGAAACAGATTTTAGGAAAGACAATGCAACAGTCAGGAAAATAGCAGCATTAAGACCTCTTTTCAACAGCATGATTCCCAGAGTTCCATGGTGAAGGGGAAATGGAATGAGAGGGGGGGAAATCACCTTCCTCTACTTGCTAAGAATCTGTTCTTTGTGTACAGGGTAGAGACAAGAATGTGCTTTTGTGGGACTGTGCACAACAAAACAGAAAGGACAAGGGTCAACATACAGTTCTAAGTCACATTAGATGACTTACGTTAGCAAGAGTAAACCACGTCTGAGCAGGAGAGCTGGTCTCCAAGAATGCACAACGCATTTACCCAAACAGAATGAACACGAGCCTTGTAGTGACCACACAGGAACACCTCTCATGTAGGGAAAATAACTTGTGAATATAAAAGATCTACGTAAATCCCAACCCTAAATTGTGTTTTTCTCCTGTCTCTGCCCTTTCACAGCTCCAAATGCTAATGTTAAGTCTCACACAAGTCAATCTCTTACGCTGCATGTATGTCAATAAGACCCCAGATTCCAGATGCCCAGCCCCTGAGCTCCCTGTACAGTTTGATACAGCAAATCATTATGTATAACAGAAGCACTTTCTTGGGTACCTGCCATACAACACTCAACTCTACAGCCAAGCCCTGACTTTAATGCTTTCTGTGTAACAGACTCAGCTGCGTTCAGCCTTGAGGACGGCACTACCCTTATGCAAACAAGAACCCCTTCAGAGAGACTGTGGGTTTGGGTCAAAAGCAACTCAATAAAGTGTGCACTGCAATAAAGCAAATCACGTGGATTTTTTTTTTTTTTTTTTTTTTTTGGTTTCCCAGTGCTTATAAAAGTTCTGCTAATGTTATAGAGCAGCCCCAATATTGAACGGGTTCCTTTTCCCCCTAACACTAACACTAACACTACAGTCTTCTAAGAGTGCAACAGTATTAGGTCTTTTAAAATTTATATATCTTAATTACAAAATACTGTATTGCTAAAAAATACAAGATGACATGAATACATGATGTTTACTGACCAAGTTGTCCAATGTAGAGTTGCTGCAAACCTACAATTTGTGTTTTTAAAAAAGCTCTGTCTGCAAAGCACAATAAAGCCAAGTGCAATAAAAGGAGACATGTCTGTAATAAACAGGACTGAGTTTCAACTCTCAACTGTGTTTCAATCCTTAAGCAACTTAAGTTACCTTTCTGTCTCAGATATTTAACCGCTGAAACAAAACCGACCTGCAAAAGCCAGGCTCACTCCCAAGTAACTTGTTAAAACCTAGGAACTGGCTGGAATGAGTCTTTGCGTTTTAAGGGAAAAGAGGCCGTAGCAATGTGGAACATTTTTTTCTTTGTCTGTTTAGAAAAGGCAGTGTGGCCAAGTGCCTTTGCCATCAACATAGAATCAGGATGAAATGCTGCCATTTGCCATGATTTGCTTTATTGCAGTGTTTGCTTTACTGAGCTGCTCTTGACCCAAACCCACAGTGTCTCCCTGTCACTTTGGGGACATCCTCTCGCCAGCCTTCCCAAGACTCAGCTTCATGTTCTGTAAAACAACGAATGAACCCCCATTGGTGTGAGAGCAGCAGTGAGTCAGCACTGCCAGCCATGGGGCGCACAGCAGGTCCCAAAAAGAAGGATTACTATTTTCACTTGTTCATGCACAATGAACTTATTAAATTGCAAACTTCCACAACGAATCATTTCAACGCTTTCTAGGAAGCATTTCTTTCCACATGGAAGTTGTTAGGGGAGAAACTCCTCTTCCTCACACCTTTGTTTTCAAAGAAAAGAGGGTTTTTTTTCTGAAATACTCCAGTTCTTGTTGTCTTATTGAACAATTGGTTCAGACACCACAAGAGAAGTGTCTTGGGCAGCACACCCCTCCCACCCCTGCACCAGGCCAGGAACCCTGGTAATCTGGAGAACAAGTTAACACTTCGACGTGGAGACTTTTACTCCAACCTGGACCAGCAGCACTGGGCTGCTCCCTCGCCAGCACACTTGGAGCGGGAGCTGAGCTGGCTTCCAGCTACTCCGCCCCCAGCTGGCGGTTCCAGGGAGCCACGC